GAAAGAGACGAAGGGAGGCTTCTTTCTGTGGTAGGTACTTTCCATCTGGCAATAAGCCGGGTTCCCGCCTTCCCTTGAATTCTGAGACTGGGATACAGGAGAATAAGAAGGTAGAGAGGTGTGCATGTGTGTATGTGTGAGTGTGCACGTGCTTTCCAAGGCTAGCAGCCAACAGAAGTGTGTAAAGTAAAAAACTAAGAGCCAGCACCACTCTATTGAAAGAGTTCAAACTGTGGCATCGGAAGGCCTGGCTCAAGTCACCGCTCAGGCATTTACTGTGTAAGAGGAGAGGCTTCCCTGCCAGGCACTGAGTGCAGTGCTTTACCTGCACTTTCTGAGCCACCCTCCCCACAACCCTGTGGAAGAGCCATCATTATCCCCATTTCACAGATGAGAAAGTAGAAATACAAAGATTTAAGCAGTTTGTCCAAGATGACACCGCAGCTAACTGGAGACCCAAGGCTGGAACTCATCAGATGATTTTACAGCTAGGGGTCTTGGCTGCACCACCATCTTCTCCCCCTGAGCCTCTATTTCCTCATCTGTAAAATGGGTATGAGTGTAATACATACAAGAGTTACATTAAACAGTGTAAGGTAAAGTGTCTTGCAAATTGCAATAAGAATGTCGGTTGTTGTCATTATCAGACCAGATTAAACAGCATGGATTATAAACGAGAAGGACTATCTCCTCCCAGCCTTCTGATAAAGGCCTATGAAGACAGCTGGGTAGCCTGGTGGGCCCTTCCCCCAACCTCATCTGTGCCACTTAGTCAGCCATGAGGGGCTGAGAGCCACCCTCCTCCCCAGCCCAGTGTGCCGGGAAAATCACATTTGTGCCAAAATATGATAATATGAGCTGATCTCACCTGATTTAAGACCTCTGCATGCTGCCTGTTCCCCCCCCCCCCCCCCCCACTTCATTTTGGTCAAGAGTTTGACTCATTCTTGCACCTTCCCTCCCACCGTGTTTTGCAAAGCTTACTAATGATCTCCTGGAAGTCCATCCCCTTTAAGGCACAGTCAAAGGCCTGGAAAGAACAATCTCACACTCTTCAAAGTGCTTTGTAACCCCACTTCCTCTTTCAATCCTCATAAGAGCAGCTGAGGCGAGGGAGTTATCCATGACTATTTTACAGATGAAAAGACTGAGGTTCAGAGTAGCTAAGTGACTTGCCCAAGAGAGAGGAGAGAAGAGGGGGAGAAGCAGAGGGGCTTGGTTAGCCCCACACACGTTAGACTCAGTTCCTAAATAACCAAGCATGGGCTGAGGTGTGGTGCCTGCCACCACCCCAGGACAGGGACTCAGGCTAGCCTAGGTGGGAAGCAAGGAAAGGCAGCACCCCTCAAGGGTGTCATGCAGCAAGGAGGTACCATGGGAATACACTGACTGCCTTGTGGGAGGAAGAACACAGGGCAAATGCATGGGCCAGTTCAATATTTGTCAAAGCTCAAAGGTTGGGACAATTGGCTGCACAGGGAAAGGAACTTGGTTTTCATTCCATCTAGGATGTGTTGGAGGTAGAGAGCTGTGAGGAGAGAGAAGAAAGCCACAGGCTGCTCAGACTCTCAGAAATGTGCTCTCTGCTCCCAGGGCTGATGCAGGAGCATATCAGAAGGATGGGAGCAGCCTGGACACCACTGTTCTTGTGCCCCTCCTCCCAACATTCAGGGCTCAATCTCAGGAAAAGGACCCTTGGTCTCACTCTCAGACTGTCACAAAAGCATGGTAGAGATCTGTATATGTAGGTTAAGTCCAACCGGCTTTTAGTGTTGTTCAAATCTACTACTTCCTTATTGATCCTGTCGAGTTGTCTTACTCATTATTGATAGTGGGGTTTTGAAGTCTCCTACTATTATTGTAGAGCTATCTATTTCTCCCTTCGGTTTGGTAAATGTTTTCTTCATATATTTTGGAGCTCTGATGTTTGGTGCATATATATATATAATAGGTGGGGAGGGTGGGAGTGGATGTCAGGCTGGAACAAAGGAGGCAAGGCAAGGATATGTGAGTATTTCTCATGGGCGACACTAGAGCAAGGTGACCTGAGGCTACTTTGGTCCATGGGCATAGGATTGTACCTCCTTCTGTTGGGGTTACATCATCCCCTCCAGGCAGTCCTCCTGGGTGGTTTCCTCCACTGTGGCCAACGAGTATCCCTGCCCTGACACTGGATGAAGGGAAGCTCACATTTGCTGCCTTCCTGTTACTGTCCTGCTGCCTCAGGCTGATTCAACCACAGCTTCTCAAGCAGCTGTCATGGTTTGGGTCTCTGAACGGTTCACTTGAAGCTGCCCCTCCAAGGGCCTGGCGGGGGCGAACCCTTCCTCCCACAACACACACAATCTCTCTCTCTCTCCTCCCATGCCCCCTCTTTGGCAAGGAGGGTGTACAGCTTGCTATCTTCAAAAAAGTCCTCTCTGGGGCCCGCCCCGTGGCCGAGTGGTTAAGTTTGCATGCACTGTTTCGACTGCCCAGAGTTTGACCAGTTCGGATCCCGGGTGCGCATATGGCACCGCTCATCAGGCCATGCTGAGGCGGTGTCCCACATAGCACAACCAGAGGCACTCACAACTAGAACATACAACCATCTACTGGGGGCTTTGGGGAGAAGGAGAAGGAAACAAACAACAAAAAAAGGAGATTGGCAACAGATGTTAGCTAATGGCCAATCTTCAAAAACAAGAGTCCTCTCTCTCCAATCTCTCAACTCTATATTTCAATCCTTTATTCCTTTGAAGTAGGTGATGAGCTAAAGGTGGCAAGATCAGTTTCCAGCTGCCCCCTCCCAGGTCTCACATAGATGACTTAGCACCTCACTTTGAAATGAGGGGATGTTTTACACATACTATTTTGTTCCTACTTGTGGGGCTTAAGAAGGAATCCCATTTTAGCCTCCTGTCCTAGGCAGTAGTAAGCTTATGCCCCTCCTTGCTGCTGTGATTTTCTTGGGCCTCAAGCTCTCCACATGTTCTTCCCAGCCAGCATAGCTATATTTCTATCATGTCCCCCAGAAATCTGACCCAATTGCATAAGAGAAGCTCACCTGATGAGTGTATAAATGATTTAATTGCACAAGAGAAGCCTCACTGGACAAGTGGATGTATGATTTAGTTGAAAGAGTCTGGACTAGGAGTCAGGTGGCCTTGTTTTAAGCCTGTCTCTCCCATTAAAAACCTGTGGGACCCTAAATAGTTCAGTTACCCTCTCTGGGCTTACATTTCTCAGCTCTAAAATAAAGAGCTTGAGGTTGATGGTCCCCAAGGTCTTTCAAGCTCCGGGATGCTGAGCTGGTTTGGGGGATTGTGCAAGGCCAGGGTCGGGTGAGTTCAAGGGCAGAGATGACGCCAAACCCCTTTGGGTAGTGCCTGACTTTTCCACTCCCATCACTGGACTGCTTTGTTTCAGGTGACAAGATTGTCACAGGATCTGTCTCTTGCCTTAGGGACATGTACTCCCCCAGTTCAGGATAGAGACAAAAGAGTGAGCCCTTGGGCACGGGGGCCCCAGGGTGATGTCAACCTCAGCAGGTCAAGGAAGCTGCATGTTCTGATAGCCTTAGCCCAGGATCTAAAATAGGCAGCAAATGGAATGGTTTCCAGGCTCCTCCTCAGCTAAAGATAAAAATATCATGGGCTCAGGGCTGTTCCCAGTCATAAATCAATCAGCCAGGACTATTTCTGTCCTTATCCCATGCCTGGGGTTCCTCCCACAACCTCCATCCATCCTGTCCTCCCATCCTGGCCTCCCAGCCACCTTAGCTCTGGAGTAGAAGGAGGTTCATCAGCTGCCTTCAGACAACAGCAGCTTGCTCGCCCACGTGAGAATCCTACCCCTGCCAGCAGGTGAACAGATGGGCATCCTGGTGCCTCCACCAGCCTCTGTGGGCCTGCTTAGCATGGGTCTACTCTGATAGGCTGATCAACTCCTGGCTTGTATGGCCTCATTGCAGCCCAGGGGCCATGGTGGCCCTCCAGGAGTAAAGGTCTCTGAGTAAGCCCTCTGCGTGGCTATGGTTGGGCTTCTCCTTCATGGAGTTACAGAGATTAAAGTACGACCTCTTAAGACCACTGGGAGGATTAAATGAGACCTTGCAAGTAAAGCACTAAATTTGGCACCTGATTAAGTTGTAGATACTCAGAAAGTAATACTTGCCCTCTCCCTACTAGCCATTCCTCAGGAGCTCAGACCCCCAGGGCGGACCCACGTCTTCAAAGAGCTCCTTTGAGGAGATGTTGTCCATCTGAAACCCTGAGATGACTTCAAATTCAGCTCTTGAAGAGACTTTTGAAGACACTTGGCTACTCCGAGGTCCTAAAGCAGCTCCCTAGTAACTAACCATAGACCCGAGGCTGCTGCGCCCACAGGAGACTACTGTCTCAAGTCCAGTCTTCCATCGCCCTCTGCAGGTTGCAGTGTGGTCCTGCAGGCAGTGCTGGCTGCAACCCTCGTGCAACCCCAAGACCAAGGATCTTCACTTTACAATGTAGACCTGAGACAGTTTATAGATTAAGACAGCTGGGCAAGGCTAGGTGTCGAAAGAGGACAACACCCAGTGTAACACAGTGATTGACAGTTCACAAAGCACTTGCTCATTTGATCTTCATGACCACTGGGCCTTGCCTCTGTTCCTAAGCTCAGAAGGGAATTCAGTCATTGTTCAGCCCTTACAGCCTCACTAATGAGAATTGACACATCTCGGTCTCAGGTTCTGCCCTAGAACATTCCATAAAATCAATGAAACAGACATGTGTGGACCTTAGTGTAAATACTAGTTCAATTTCTAAAGCTCTTCCGTTTTAATTGTGCTGTAAGACAGCCAGTATGTCTAGAATACTCTGAGGGAGAGAATTTTGTAAGAAAGTGTGTGTGTGTGTCAATGTGAGTGAATGTGAGTGTCTGGCATGTGCATTCTCTAGAAATGAGGGCTGGCTAAGAGACCACAGATATTAGCATTGGGTGTGATTATGACGATTAATATGCATTTCTCATACGCCAACCAGCTGACAGTATCATTTACTGTATGAATGACATCAAGCACCAGGCTCAGCTGCATGGTTTCCACTATCCTCCTTCCATGGCCAGAACCATGGACCTTGTCTGGCAAAAGGCTGGATGTTTTATTTATTGAAGGCACATGGCAATGTCACATTGTCCACCCAGCACCATGTAGTGATGAAATCACTATTGGAGCAATGAGAGGAGGTACTTGCCTTTTTCCTGTCCTCTTTACCAACCTCAGGGACTTGGGGGGAACCTAAGCTGAGTTCATTAGGCCCAGATATCTCATCGTAGTCGGGGAGCCACATCTTTGTAGCTACAGATCTCTTATATGATGACTTTTCAGGTCATGTATTGATACACTTTTAGAGCTGGAGAAGACCTTAAAGATATGCCAGTTGAATCCTTTCATTTTGCAGTAAAATGAAGCACAGAAAAAGGGCAGTGAGAGTCCAAGATCACACAGATAGTTAGAGACACAGTTGGATGAGAATGCGACTCCTTGACTGTTTTTGCTCTGGCTGATCTTGATTTTGGTAGCAGCATTCCTAGTGGAAATTACTCTGGGTTCAAATGAAGATTTTTAAAGCTGATCCTTTTTTTTGAAATGCACGAGGGCGAAGAGAAAGAAACCTAGCACATTGTAGGCACTCAATAATTGGGCTGGTTGGCTTTTGGTGTTAGAGAATAATCTTACTCTATGCAGCTTAGCAAGATTGGATCCAATTAACCTTGAATTTATTTCATTCTTTGTTCTCTTCCTATGACCCAAAGGTGAGTAGGGGTTTGAATCTCACTCCACTGCCCCACTGCAAAGTAAGTATGGATCTGAGGTTGTCATATGGCGTACATTGGTGTATAGGAAAAGCTTTTGAGGAAAAGCACACAGATTTAGAGTAACTTTGGTTTAAGCTTCTGGAGATTTGTGGAATCCTCTTTGAAGGACAGACACTGTCAGCACTTGAGTTTATACAGGGTTTCTGGTGAGTTAAGATATAGCACAAATACTTCCTAAACCTACTTCAAATACATGATTAAGACAGACGTGGAATGACCCTAATTGCATACTAACTGCTTGGGCTAACAGTTCTGATTTGGCTGACTATTGTTTGCAAATAATATTTTTGATCAAAATCTTCCAATGCATTCAGTGTTCTTCCAAGCACCATCCTGATGAATCACAGCACTGCCATCCTGTGAGTTTTATAGATTCATGTTCTGCAGCATTATGCTCCGTGCTCCATGGAAGCCCCAGTGTAGCATAAGCAGACTCTGTTGCAAGCTTTCTCTTCAGACCCTCAAAGACCAGGCTTTACAGTTTTCTGGTACACCAGTGACACACTAGGAAAGAACAACAGAAGACTCACTGCCAGGGTCTTTTCATAGCATGCAACACAGTGTCCCCTCCTGCCCTCTCCCACACATGCCACCTCCCACCGCTGCCAACCACCATTCCAAGACCAAAGACCACTCTGCCGTCCCAACTGTGGGAATGACCCCTGGACAGGGCCCCTCAATTTCCTAGTCAATCCTTTATTTTCATGGAGCACTTTCCATGTGGCAGGCACTGTATTAGGCTATGGAGATACAGGGTTGGACAAACACGGAAGTGGTCCCTTCTTATGTGGCACTCACAGTCCTTCAAAAGCGTGATTGGTTCATAGATTCAGCTGTTTATGCAAATCCTTTGCTGGGATTTTAAATCACTGGTGTGTTGAAACACAGCAGAGGTGCTTGGACTAGAATCTTTGCTTTAGGTCTGGGGCCTCAGAGTGGCTCAATAGATCATTGAGTTCTGTATCAGATTGTCTGCAAGGAGCTAACTTTGTAACCTGTGCAAGCTTACTGGAGCCAAGCAGCACCTCTCCTCTCAGGGAATGGGGTTTGGGGAACTGTCAGTATCGGGGCCATGTGGGAAGGTTCTGGGCTGTGGGAAATTTGCTGCACAGCTGTGGGCATCCTCATGGCCTGGGAGCTACACATATAGTTTGCGGTTCTCACTCTACAGCTAAAGCTCTTGGCAGACCTGCAGGGTGGCCTGACTGGAGACCCATCTGTCTCCTCCTCCTCAGTGCTGAGGTCCGGGACGGCAGACTTGTCTGCCCCGAGGGATCTCCTGTACCCTCCCCATCCCTGGAACACTTTGGGTCCATGACTACCCACTTCATCTCTAAACCCGAAAGGCCTATCAAATTTCCTATCAAATACCTAGAAGGAAATCCAACTTGGGTATCAGGAAGAACCCGGTTCTGCTAACTCAACAAAGCCTGCCATGCAAAGGCAATTGGAGAGTCCTATCTGTGCAGTGCCCACTTCATCACAACTCAGAGGCTGGGCTGGTTCTGAGGTTCCAGCGGTGGAAGAAACTGTCCTGGCATGGTCTTTGGCTACCAGGCATTGTCCACTATAAGTATCTCACATGTTCCCAGAATGATTCCAACAACCATGGAACTCCTGTTACATTCTGCTACACACAGCTCCAAGCTAATAACCAATCAATACAATGTGATCATCTGGTTTCCTAAAAGGCCACCAAAGTCTTCAATGGCACTTATGAGTCCCCAGTATCAGCATGGCACATGGTAATTACAGAACAAATGGGGTCCATCTAATAAATGAATAAATTCCTCTTTTTCTCTTCATCTCCATAGATCCTCACACGGTGTCTTTAAGAAAGAAGGGTCTCAAAAATGCTTGTGGTGGACACTAAAGATTAGGCTCTTCTGGAGTTTTACCCATCACCCTCATCTTCCTGGAAAATAATGAAACCTGTGGGTCATGGCTGTGCATCAAACAGCCCTCCTTCCTTTAAGGAGGCCCAGCTACAAGCTGCAGCTTTCGGGGGTTTCTTGTTATTTTCCTGCAAGTCCAAGGGGGTGCCTTAATTGCACAGTGAAGGGCAGCATTGACCCAGGGCTGCCCAGTTGAGACAGAACCTAACATCTCCCCCTCCCCTCTGCAGAGCACCCCCTGCAATTCACAGACCTCTGCCCGGGCCTCCCCGGGACTGAGTGGGCACTTGAGAGGCATCGTTACCAGGGTGGTGAACTTGTCCACACAGGCATTGCGGATCTTCTCCTGGGTGGCAGGGCTGTCTAGACGGAAAAGTTCCTTCATATCATAATCTTTGTGCTGAGCTCGAGCTGCACGGATGGCGTCCTTGATGGCAAAGAAGACAGAGGCGGCCAGGAAGAGGGGCGGCTCCCCGACAGCCTGAGAAGACAGAGTGCAGGACAGAGAATCAGGGGAAGTAGCCCCAAGCTCCAGACCAGGAGTGCTGGTGTTGCGTGGGAACCCCAGCCAGCACTAAGGGGCCACACCAAGCAAGGCAGGAAGAGCAGTCAAAATCAATCAGGGGCTCAGAACAACCCATCTAGTAAATGACTCAGCCTTGTTGGCACAGTTTTGTTAACTCTTGCTATGTGATTTTCTCTGACGACAACATGCGAATAGAATGTATCATTAAAAGTTACATTAAATAATTATATTTTATAGAGAAAAAAAACCTCACATGAATTTTAACCGTTTCTTCCATTATCAGGCTATGGGAACAATCTACTTGCAATTCTGACACCAACATTTATAGACACCCATATTATACTTACAGCATCTGCTGGAATATATGCCTCATGACAAACAGGAATTAAAACATTTTCTAGCAGAGGTTGTTTTGTCCTCCAAGCATAGATCAGAGACTACCTCTATCAGAATCACTAGGAGCACTTATTTAAAACGCGTGTTCTGGGGTGCTATCCCAGACCTATAGGATCAAGATTTCAGAGGTGGGCCGTACAGAACTGCATTTTTGCCATGAGCTCCCAATGGTTCTGATGCATGCTAAAGTGGGAGAGCCAACGGCAAGGACCACAAAGTGGCCCAGACCGCCCACCCCCAAAGGAAAGTAAACCATGAGATGACCAAATTGGTTACAAGTGATTTTCTGTCTTTCTTCTTAGACCTAGGACTATATCAATCAGCTTAATTGATTTTCAACCATTTTTTTATACTTATTTGGGACAGGGAGGAAATAGAGAATGGTTATAAGTCTTCAGGCATGCCGATCAAGGCTTAAGGTCAGGTGGTAGCCACTGAAAGAGGTGAAGGGATGTTCATTGAGGTGCTGCCCCATCTGCAGGGAACATGCTGCTTCTCCTGGGACCACAGGGGTGCTGTATCTGTGAGGTCATCTCTAGGACCAAGCACCAGGGATGCACACCTGAGACATGGGTGTAGGTCAAGATTTGACCTACAGGACTGGATTAAGGAATCCCTCTGAGTGCACACAAAGGAGCTGGCTTTGACCACATGGAGGTGGGGGTCACCCTCCACCCAGTTCCCTGGTTCTCAGGCAGGACTTCCCACCCCTCCACCACCCTCACCAAAGCTAGTATCAAGCCCTCTTCTCTCTTCCAGATAAGCCCCCTGCAGCTCCACATGGCAAGCGGCTGGAACATCTCATCACCATCTGTGGCCTCCCACCATGTAGACCAGAAGGCAGCACAGACCCAGGGCAATCGGATGCCCTGGAAGCATAGATGGCCCTACCTTGGATGCATAGATGGCCTTCTTGTTGGGGGAGTCACGGAGCAGGGACACTCTGAACTCAATGGGGATGCTGTCAAATGTAGGGATCTTGTAGGTGCTGGGGCCACGGGTGTACAGGCTTCCCTCGGGGGAATACTGCAGCTCCTCCAGGGTGAAGAGGCCAAGGCCCTGGACAAATGCCCCTTCCACCTGCAGGGCAGACAGAGACTGTTGCTACCTTGCCCCCTCTCCCCCTCCAAGGACAGGCACTGCTTCCCACAATGCGCACCAAGCCCTCTCTGGAGTGGGGCCTGGAAAGAAGCTGGAAACAGCCCTCCATTGCTTACCTGGCTCCAGCCCCAGCCCAGGATAACCTATCTGGAACTTCGCCAGGCATTGGCATGGGCAGAGTAAAGGCGTTAACACTGAAGGCGTTTCTGAACTTGTCAGCGATTCCAAGAGGGTCACTCAATGGTAGGCATAATTTCCCATTAAAACTTGCCGCAGGGCAGGTGGAGATGTTCCTTCTATGTTGCCACTGGAGAAATAGCAACCCTAAGCTGAGAAGCCAGCTCACCGGCTAATGGTTGCTGAGAGTCCCTCAAGGGCCCACACTCCTCCTGTGTGCAGAGTGGGACCACGCGCTTTTGAGCAGCCCCACAAGAGACAAGGAATTCCTTGGACAGTAGATTCCAGGCTTTTTGAACTCCCAGGCCTGCCTGCCCTCTGAGAGAAAGCGTGTCCCTGCTATGGCTTACAGACATCTTTTAGGGCACCTGCCATGCTCTGCTGGCCCACAGGTCCATTCTCTCAGCCTCACTGCTCAGAATTGTGACAAATGGCACCGCCATAGTTAATCAAGCCTGTTCCAGGAGCAGACCAGGTGCTAATCATCTTGTGTCTGTGGTGCCAAGTTCAGTGCCTGCCATAGTAGGGGCTCCCCCCTGTGGTTGTTCAATGAATTAGTGAACAGATTGACTAGCAACTAAGTTTCTGGGTACTCAGGAAGGGTCCGTCTGTGAGAAATACGATTTACATTTTCTACCAGGTGCTCCGTACTTCAGTTCTGGCTTCCTCTCTCTGTCTCCTGTTCCACCTGCTCTGCCCAATACTCTCAAATTTTCCAAAAGTGATTTCTTCAGGACATTCATTTCTTTACTCCTCTTACTCAAACACATGTCTTTTGCCCCCAGTGGCCCCCACTCACGCTTGGTAGCATTTACTTCTTGCAGAACAAAAAGCTGTCCTAGGTGGAAAAAGAATGATGAGGGAGAGAACTCCTCTGACCTCACTGCCCACACATCGATCCCAAACTGAACCTCTATTCTACGTTATGCTCCCTCTCAAACTGTGCGTGTGTGTGTGTGTGTTTGCACCCAATGTTTTCACCATTCATCACCTTGCTCTCTGAGGCGTGAGAGCCCTTTCCAAGTTAATCCACATTGACTTGTCTTCTGCCTCAAGAGTTGGGTGGGCTCTCATCTATCTCAACCCCGCTCTCAGGGAGACTCACTTGGTACCATGTTCAGATCTGCTTAAAAACGACATTGCACAAGATGCTGTGGCTGGTGACCCTAGGAGGGGATGGGGCACACCAGTGGCCAAGTCCATCACCACTCTGGTCCCCCACGAGCTTACCTGTCCAATATCGATGGCGGGGTTCAGACTGGAGCCAACATCCATGACGATGTCTGTGCGGAGATTCTAAAGCAGAAGCAAAATAAAAGCAGTTTGAGCAGAAGGGGATGTGAGAAATGATAGATGGGTCTTGGAGACCCTTAGATTAGTAATGCCAACCCAAACAGTATTTTCACAAGCTGAGTGCCCTGGGCTCGCTCAGGCAGGGGTGTTCATGTCCCTGCCAGTCTCCACTGCCATCGTCACTGCCGAAGTTGGAGTTCATAGCAGCTCGGGAGGGGATGGGAGTGGCGATGCCCTCTCAGTAATTGGAAATAAGTGTGCACACACCCACACGTGAGTAGGAATGGTAGGTTCCCAGGTTCCTGGGGCTTCAAACCTGGGTCTGGGTGGATCATGCTAGAAGGAGTCAACAAGCTACACGTCATGGCTGAATCCAGCCCATCCCCTGTTTTTGTAGGGCCTGTGAGCTAATAACAGTTTTTACATTTTTAAATGACTGACAAAAATAAGAAGATGAATATGTTGTGACACCTGAAAACTATATGAAATTCACATTCAGTGTGCATAAATAACATTTTTTTGGAACACTGCCACACTCGTTTGTTTACATATGTCTGTGGCTGTTTTCATGCCCCAACGATAGAGTTGAGTGGTTGACACAGTCTTTGTGTCCTAGAAAGCCTGAAATACTTACTCTTCAATCTTTTATATGAAGTTTGCCAAGCTTTGGTGTAAGGCGTTATTTTTCCAACAAGAAAATTTGTCTCTATCAGCTCTTGGTATTGCAATTGAGTTGTTTCTCTTTTCCCGTTTAGTACTAATGTTTTGCAAACTCCTTACCTTATGATCCCCTGTTAAGCAGTCAATTTCCACTTCAGAGCAAGCCACCCCATACGAGAAGTAGTTGAAGGGATTCCCTGAGTTTGTCTCAAAGCTGTAGCCAACATCGGGTGCTCTGGGGGAGAAAACAGAAAATACTGCACATGTGTTAAGATGAGCATGCCCCCCACCCATACACACTCACACAGCTTGTCCTACAAAATCTCAAGACCCCAAAGGTTTTATTTTTTCATTCAGCTGTTCTTAAAAAACGTCCATGTGTTTTGAATATTTTGAACTCATTACTGAAACCCAGATATTCCAGAGAATTTTGTCTCTTGTCTCTGCCCTATTGTACCAATGTCCCTTATAGGAATCATCCTGTACAGCCGAGCAGTGTTTAGTATCAGCGTGCTGGCCTCTACGTGGTAGAAACAGGTGACAGATTTGCCTGAGCTCATGAAGGACATGAAAGTCACACTCCAAAGGACCTACTGAATTAGAATTCAAGATCTTCAGAACCAAAGGTGCTGCCTGTGCTGGCTCCTAGGCTGTTCACACAAGTTCACCTGCTCACAGGGCTGCTCACCTTTCTCAAGGTGAAAGCTAAGAAGATCAGTATCTCATGCAGCCTGGGTGCATCTTTAAGCAGCCACTTGTCTGCATTACGCCTCATCCACTGGCCCCTTCTAAAAGTCAACAAGCGATTTGAGGAAACTGATACTAATGAAAGCAGATGTTCTCGCATACTTTTTTTCTTTTTCAATCCTGAGTATCTTATACAATTCCAATTTTGCATGAGTCATGTATATCTGTGTATACGTATGTGTGTGTGTGTGTGTATTCTCACACCCAGAGTTTATAGTTATGTATCTATGTTGTTCTACACATTACACAGAAATAATGTGAGCTGATATGATCAGAATCTGCAGGAAAACAAAACCAATACAGACCTGAGGGAAAGGCTTCTCCCAGGAGAAACCATCCTGCTTTGACCTCTGACATCACCATCTTCATCTGGGTTCCCTTATATAACCCCAGTTTTATTAACTCCAAAAGTGAAATGGGAACTTATGAGTAAATCGGCACTAGTTTGTGTTTGTGTTAAGTCAAATATTACATAACCCAGGGAGCACTGGGAAAACATTACTTTGCCTAATATATATGTAATAGATGTATGTGTTTATATGTATAACACATATATACTATATATATTACATATAGAAAATATACATATGTTCATACATTCACACAAGACCTTTTAAAGCAAACATTACACTATTTTCCAAATCCATTGATCTGTGAGAGAAAAGGTCCTAGTTGAACTTCCCAGAGAAAGCTAAAACATTACGGCTGACAGTAAACATGATCATATCTTTTTACAGCTTCTAAATCAGATGGGCAGCGTCTGTAGCTCTTTCTGCTGCTACTGAATTTTAAAGTTGCAGAAGATGTGTGCTCTTTTCTAATGCTCACTTTAAGTTCCACTGAATTCTGCATTTTGTAACAAGCTCACATGCTCTAAATCCTCCTTCCATTCCATAAATGCGTAGTACAAATTAACACACGTGGGTAACTCAGAACACCAGACACTCGGGTTCTTGCAGGGAGATACTGAGGGAGGAATGGTTGGTAATTGTCCTGCTATGTCATAAATGAGGAAACAGGTTCAGAGAATCACTGATTCCCCAGGTGGAACAGCACACTTTAAGACCAGAGCTAGAACGCAGATCTTCTGATATGGCCGCAGCTGCTTTTGCCTTCTTGACACATCATTTGGTAATCTGTGTATTTTAGAGCATCTTTAAATTGAAATTAATGGAAATCCATTGAAGAGATAAGAGTTTTGGTGGAACTGCTCTCTCCTGACCAAAGGCCGACAGAGTTCAATGTTGGAGGGAACTTCTGAGGTGAGGATGACCACACACTGTGAGATGGGCGAGACCAGCACCATACTTACTTATAAAACCCAGTAGCAGACAAGCTCACTGCATCCTGGTAAGCAGCTATGACCTGAGAAGAGGAAATGGCCATCAGGAATGGGTAGGCGTGCTTTCCAGAAACCCAGCACTAAGCTTTCATGAGCTCATCCTCCTCCTCTGGAAGTTGATCAACTCCTTCTACTAGTGACTCACTTCCACACCTTACCTTGCATCCTCACTGCCACCTCTGCACTAGGTCCTCATCATCTGAAGCCCAGAAGCCTGTAACAGCCTCATAACTGGTCGCCCTGCCTCAAGTCATCTCTCCACTCTGCCGTGTGGCCCAGTGCAGCCAGAGTGATTATCTTAACATACCACACAGCCCATTTCACTCCCCTGCTCCATGGCTTTCCATGACTCCCCATCACCTATGGAGCAAATGCCTGACATTAAGGACCCCGATCTTCTCTTTGGCTTTATGTAGCACATACATCATTGCCACTCTAGCCAAACGCAAGTGTTAACTTTCTGCCAACCCTTCCATGTCCCCAGACCTTTGTGCCTTCATTCATGTGGCTCCTCTGCTATATCTGTCCAAATCCTTTTCTTCCCTCAACAACCAGCTCACACTTGCAACTCCAACCACCTCTTCTCAGTGACTCCCTGCTCTGGCTTTATACAGCAACTCTCTATATTGCTCATTTGATACTTAGCCTGTTAACCTTGAGTTTTTAGTTATACCTTCCTGTTAATAAAGCTATCCATCTATCTATCCATCTATTCTATCTCTTTAAATACATTAATAAGTTTTTTTGGTATCCACAGCACTAGCACAACACTAAGATTTAATTTGTAGTCGATATATCTCACATCATGATCATCGTCAACTACCAACATTTTTACTATGTACCAGTTGCTATAGAGTACCTTGTATGAATTATCTTACTTAATATTCAATACAACCCTATAATGTCAGTACTATTATTATTATTTTATTTTACTATTTTTTTTATTTGAGTTCATAGTAGTTTACATCATTGTGAAATTTCAGTTGTACATTATTTCTTGTCCATCACCACATAGGTGCTCCCCTTCACCCCCTGTGCCCTCCCCTTATGCCCATTCCCCTGACAACCACTGAACTGTTTTCTTTGTCCATGTGATTATTCATATTCCACATACGAGTGAAATCATCTGAAGTTTGTCTTTCTCAGTCTGGCTTATTTCACTTAGCATGATTCCCTCCAGGTCTTTCCATGTTGTGCAAATGGGATGAATTTTTCATTTTTTCTGGCTGAGTAGTATTCCATATTGTGTGTGTGTGTGTGTGTGTGTGTGTGTGTGTGTGTGTGTGTGTGTATACATGCTATCTTCTTTATCCAATCATCAATCAATGGGCACTCAGATAGTTTCCATGTCTTGGCTATTGTGAATAGTGCTGCAGTGAACACAGGGCTGCATATGTTACTTTGGATTGTTGATTTCAAGTTGTTTGAGTAGATACCCAGTAGCGGCATAGCTGAGTCATATGGTAGTTCTATTTTTAGTTTTTTGAGGAATCTCCATACTGTTTTCCATGGTGGCTGCACCAGTTTGCATTCCCACCGGCAGCGTATGAGGGTTCCCTTCTCACCACACCTTCTCCAACATTTGTTATTTATAGTCTTAGTAATTATAGTCATTTTAACAGGCATAAGGTGGTATCTTCGTGTAGTTTTGATTTCCATTTCCCTGATGATTATTGATGGTGAACTTCTTTTCATGTGTTTATTGACCATCTGTATATATTCTTTGGAATAATGTCTGTTCATATCCTATGCCCATGTTTTGATCGGGCTGTTTGTTGTTTTGTTGTTCAGTTGTGTGAATTCATTATATATTATGGAGATTAACCCCTTATCAGATATATGATTTGCAAAAATTTTCTCCCAGTTGGTGGGTTGTCTTTTGGTTTTGATCCTAGTTTCTTTTGCCTTGCAGAAGCTCCTTAGTCTGATGAAATCCCACTTGTTTATTTTTCTTTTGTTTCCCTTGTCTGAGAGGACGTGGTATTCAAAAGGATCCTTTTAAGTTCAATGTCAAAGAGTGTACTACCTATATTATCTTCCAGGAGTTTTATGGTTTCAGGTCTTACCTTCAAGTCTTTGATAGATTTTGAGTTTATTTTTCTGTATGGTGTGAGATAATGGTCTACTTTCATTCTTTTGCATGTGGCTGTCCAATTTTCCCAACACCATTTATTGAAGAGACTGTCTTTTCTCCATTGTATGTTCTTGGCACCTTTGTGGAAGATTAGCTGTCCTTATACGTGTGGTTTTCTTTCTGGGCTTTCAGTTCTCTTCCATTGATCTGTGTGCCTGTTTTTGTACCAGTACCACGCTGTTTTGATCACTACGGCTTTGTAGTACATTTTGAAGTCAGGGATTGTGATGTCTCCAGCTTTGTCCTTTTTTCTTAGGATTGCTTTAGCAATTCGGGGTCTTTGGTTACCCCATATGAATTTTAGGATTCCTTTCTCTGTTTCCATGAAGAATGTCGTTGGGATACTGATTGGGACTGCATTGAAACTGTAGATTGCTTTAGGTACTATGGACATTTTAACTATGTTTATTCTTCCAATCCATGTGCATCGAATCTCTTTCCATCTCTTTATGTCATTATCTATTTCTTTCAATAATGTCTTATAGTTTTCATTGTATAAGTCCTTCACCTCCTTAGTTAAATTTATGCCTAGGTACTTTATTCTTTTTGTTGCAATTGTAAATGGAATTGTATTCTTGAGTTCTCTTTCTGTAAGTTTGTTATTAGAGTACAGATATGCAACTGATTTTTGCAAGTTGATTTTGTACCCAACAACTTTACTATAGTTGTTAACTACTTCTAATAGTTTTCTGTTGGATTCTTTAGGGTTTTCTATAAGTAAGATCATGTTGTCTGCAAACAGTGAGAGGTTCACTTCTTCACTCCCTATTTGGATTCCTTTTATTCCTTTCTCTTGCCTAATTGCTCTGGCCAAAACCTCCAGTACAATGTTGAATAAGAGTGGTGGTAGTGGGCATCCTTGCCTTGTTCCTGTTCTCAGAGGGATGGTGTTCAGTATTTCCCCATTGAGTATGATATTAGCTGTAGGTTTGTCATATATGGCTTTATTATGTTGAGGTAATTTCCTTCTATTCCCATTTTATTAAGAGTTTTTCTCATAAATTGCTGTTGAGTCTTGTCAAATGCTTTCTCTGCATCTATTGAGATGGTCATGTGCTTTTTAGTCCTCATTTTGTTAATGTGGTGTATCACATTGGTTGCTTTGTGGATATTGAACCATCCCTGTGTCCCTGGTATAAATCCCACTTGATCATGATGTATGATCTTTTTGATGTATTGCTGTATTCGGGTTGCCAATATTTTGTTGAGGATTTTTGTGTCTATATTCACCAGCGATATTGGCCTATAGTTTTCCTTTTTTTGTGTTGTCCTTGTAAGGTTTTGGTATCAGAGTGATGTTGGCCTCGTAGAATGTGTCAGGAAGTGTTCCATCTTCCCTAACTTTTTGGAATAGCTTGAGAAGGATAGGTATTAAATCCTCTCTGAATGTTTGGTAGAATTCCCCAAAGAAGCCATCTGGTCCTGGGCTTTTATTGTTTGGGATGCTTTTGATTACTGTTTCAATCTCTTTCCTTATGATTGGTCTACTCAGATTATCTGTTTCTTCTTGATCCAGCTTTGGGAGGTTGTAAGAGTCAAAGACTGTATCCATTTCCTCTAGATTGTCTATTTTGTTGGCATATAGTTTTTCATAGGATTCTTTTATAATTCATTGTATTTCTGTGGTATCTGTTGTTATTTATCCTCTTTCATTTCTAATTTTGTTTATCTGAGATTTCTCTCTTTTTTTCTTTGTAAGTCTGGCGAGGGGTATGTCAGTTTTATTTATCTTCTCAAAGAACAAGCTCTTTGTTTCATTGATCCTTTGTACTGCCTTTTTTGTTTCAATAGCATTTATTTCTGCTCTGATTTTTAAAATTTCTCTCCTTCTGCTGACTTTGGGCTTTGTTTGTTCTTCTTTATCTAATTCAGTTAGGTGTAGTTTGATATCGCTTATGTGGGTCTTTTCCTGTTTGTTAAGGTGAGCCTGTATTGTGATGAATTTCCCTCAATACAGCTTTTGCTGCATTTCATATGACTTGGTATGGTATGTTTTCATTTTCATTTGTATCCAAATATTTTTTTTTAAAGAATGTTCTTTCTTTCTTTATTTCTTTAAATTAAATTTTTTTTTCCTTTTTTCTCCTCAAAGCCCCCCAGTACATAGTTGTGCATTTGTAGTTGTGGGTCTTTCTAGTTGTGGCATGTGGGATGCCACCTCAGCATGGCTTGATAAGTGGTGCCATGTCTGCTCCGAGGAGTCGAACCAGTGAAACCCCGGGCTGCCAAAGCAGAGCGCATGAATTCAACCACTCGGCTACAGGGCTGGCACCCTGTATCCAAATATTTTTGATTTCTCCTTTAATTTCTTCAATGATCCACTGGTTGTTCAATAGAATGTTGTTTAGTCTCCACATCTTTGTCCCTTTCTCAGCTTTTTTCTTGTAATTAATTTCTAGCTTTATAGCATTGTGATAGAAAAGATGCTTGTTATTATTTCAATCTTCTTAAATTTATTGAGTCTTGCCTTGTTTCCCAACATATGGTGTATTCTTGAGAATGTTCCATGTGCACTTGAGAAGAATGTGTATCCTGCTGTTTTGGATGGAGTGTTCTATACATGCCTATTAAGTCCATCTGGTCTAGCTTTTCATTTAATTCCACTGTTTCCTTGTTGATTTTATGTCTGGATGATCTATCCCTTGATGTGAGTGGAGTGTTGAGGTCTGCTACTATTACTGTGTTATTATTAATGTCTTCTTATAGGTTCGTTAACAGTTGCTTTATGTACTTTGGTGCTCTTGTGTTGGATGCATAGATATTTATGTGTTATTTCTTCTCGATGCATTGTCCCTTTGATCATTATATATTGCCCCACTTTGTCTCTCTTTACCTGTCTTATCTTGAAGTCTACTTTGTCTGATATAAGTATTGCAACACCTGCTTTCTTTCATTTGCCATTAGCTTGGAGTACTATCTTCCATCCCTTCACTCTGAGCCTGTGTTTCTCATTGGAGCTGAGATATATTTCCTTGACGCAGCATATTTTCGGGTCTTGTTCTTTAACCCTTTTTGTCACTCTATGTTTTTTTATGGGAGAATTCAATCCATGTACTTTTAGGTTGATTATCAATATATGAGGGCTTAATGCTGCCATTTTATCACTTGTTTTCCAGGTCTCCTGCATTTCCTTTGTTTCTCGTCCTGTGTGTTTTGGTCTACCAATCGAGTTATATAGTTTTTTATGATGTGTTTCTTTGTTTTCTCCTTATTTATTATTTGTGTCTCTGTTCTGCTTTTTTTTTTAGTGGTTACCCTGTATTGTATTCAATATCTTGTGGATAAGATAGTCTCTTTCTGATGGCCTCTAATTTCCTTAGACTAAACCAATTCAGTCCCTTTTCTCTTCCTGTCCTAAGTTGTTTTTCTCACATCTTATTCCATCTTGTGTTATGAGTTTGTGATTAAAATGACAAGATTATGTTTGTTTTTGGTGTTTTCCTTCCTTTTGTCTTTAATGCTATACTTGAGTATTTGCTATCCTGCTCTGATTCTATCTACCTATTTAACTCCTTACTTCATGCTTTATAACCCCTTTACCCGCCCCCCTTCTTTTTCAGGTATGAAGGCCTTCTTGAGGATTTCTTGTAGGGGACATCTTGTGGCTACAAACTCCCTTAACTTATGTTTGTCTGGGGAAGGTTTTATTTCTGCATCGTATCTGAAGGATATTTTCACTGGATAGAGTATTCTTGGCTGAAAGTTTTTGTCTTTCAATGATTTGAATATGTCATTCCAGTCTCTCCTAGCCTGTAAGGTTTCTACAGAGAAATCTGCTGAAAGCCTGATGGGAGTTCCTTTGTAGGTTATTTCCTTCTGCCTTGCTGCCCTTAGTATTCTTTCTTTGTCATTCAGTTTTGCCAGTTTCACTACTCTATGCCTTGCAGCAGGACTTTTGACATTGACATATTTAAGAGATCTGGCAGCCTCTTCCATGTGAATTTCCTTCCCTAGTTTGGGAAGTTCTGTACTACTCTTTGAACAAGTTTTCTACTCCATTCTCCTTTTCTTCTCCATCTTGAATACCTATAATTCTTATGTTGCATTTCCTAATTGAGTCGGATATTTCTTGGAGACTTTCTTCATTTCTTTTTAGTTTTAATTCATTTCTCTTTAGTCTTCGTTTCTTTTACTCTCCTCTGTCTGGAGCATTTCAACATGTCTATCTTTGATTATGCTGATACTCTCCTCTGTGATGTCCACTCAAGTGTTCAGGGAATCCACATTTTATTTCTTCCATTGTGTCTTTCATCTCTAATATTTCTGATTGATTCTTCTTTATAGTTTCCATCTCTTTTATGAAGTAGCTCCTGAACTCATTGAATTGTTTCTCTACATTCTCTTTTACCTCATTGAGTTTTTTGATGATAGATATTTTGAATTCTTTGTCATTTAGATTACATATTTCTATGTCCTCAGGACTGCTTTCTGGGTACTTCTCATTTTCTCTCTGGTCTGGAGATCTAATATAATGTTTGATATTGGTAGAGCGAGTGGCTCTCTTCTTTAGCATGCTGGCATTATTTGGCCACAGTTACTGTCTATTGCCACTGGGTGGGAGTCAAGAGCCACGTATTCTGAGCCCTCTGCTTTCAGCCGAAATCCTAGGGGCTGGAGCCACACTGAGCAGGTGGGAGGAGGGGAGATTTCTCCTGCATGCTCTCAGGGTTTTCTCCCTCTGCTCTCACTATCTGCTCTCCTGGGTGTTGGCTGATGGGTCACCCCCCGTGGAAGATTTTGCCCTGGTAGAGAGCTTTCCTGTAGGCTGCAAGGCCCCTGGGAGTCCTTGGTGTTCCCACAAATGAATGTTCCCTCCCCTGTTTCTTTTCACTTGGAGGCCTCCCACGGTTCCTGATCACAGTCTTTAAGGGGAAGAAGTGAAGATTTCTGTTACCCTGTTCCACCTCCTCCAAGGGGGGCTCCAGTCTCTCCGCCCTCCAGCATACGGCTACCTAGGTCTCTCTGACGTTTTCTGTGTTCTGTTAGGTTGTCCTCTGTTATATTATGGATTTTTGTTGTTGTTGTAAATTGGAGGGGAAAGATTTCTGAGAGACCTCACTCTGCCAGGATGCTGACATCACCTCCAATATCAGTACTATTATTATCTTCATTTTACATATGAGAAAACTAAGGCTTAGAGAAAGAATTTCTCTAGGATCCTTACCATGTATATATCTGGTACAAATATATACATATATGGTGGTGGTGGTGATAATGGCACGTTTTTCAGTGTAGTACAAACAGTGAAGAGATTAGATGCCTGTCATCTCCTGATCACACCTTTTTGGTAATGGCCTCTGTTGGGGTTTCCTGCTTATAAGGAATGTTGGATTACATGGTCAGTTATTGAGGACAACGCTCATTTCAACAGATTGTAAAGTCTTGATCTATAAAGTTCAACAGATTGTAATGTTGAAAACATTATCATTGCCCGACAAATCCATGCTAAAATTCAAACTACAAAAACCAATCAACATTCATGTGGTATTTATGTGGGTGGTATCTATGAGTGTGGGAAGGGAAGTAGAGGTCATGGGAGGCGTAAGATGAGGGCGTCTGAGAAAAATAGCTTATTTTCTTTGAATCTATTGAGGGAGACTTGCACTGTCTGAGCTGGGCTGTATGCAGGCACATTTTGTGCGTTACTATTGTGCCCAGTTCTGCCATTCCAACAGGAGGGAGACAGTGAAGCAGGGCTGCCACGGATATTTCTGCTTGTTGGAGGAGCTGAAGCCTCCCACCTCAGAGAGACTTCCTTGCAGCATCCCTGTGAGAGTTCCTGACATGCAGGCCCCCAAAGGAGAAATCAGAGAACTGGGCTCATCCTTACTCTGTATGGTGCTTGTTGTGTCACTCCTAAAGTCACAGTCATGATATAACCTCTTGGGCAATGCCTTTTCCCTGCTTTCTCACAGATGGAATCTCAGTGGACCCAGACTCCAGAGCTTGATAGGGGGAGATGTTGCTGGGGCAGCCCTATGAGAGAAGGAAGTTTGAAGAAAACCAGGCTCATTGAAACTGGATGAGCTGGGTGTAGGACCAGGCCAAGTGAGCCAAGACTTCACAGTGAAGCATATTCAGCAGTCACCTCCACCTTCTCAGGCTCAGGACTAGCCAGCCCACAAATCCCTCAGGGTTTCCAAGATCCTGGATCAAAAATTTTCCTCAACTGACTCCCCTTAACTATGAAAACTGTAGAGAAAGGGAGACCAGCAAGGTTGAGCATTTACTTGCCCCGTGAAATCATACAGACCACCTCAACTTCTCTTTGCCTGAGTGACTAGATCATGACCTCCTATTCCTGCTGGAGTCAGGACAGAAGCTCTGCTCTTAATCCCCATCTCATCTGCAAAAGGAACATGGATCAACTCAGACTTACCCAGTCTTCCCAGGAGCCACTAGGATTCTTTCTCTTGAAGGGTTCCAGCCTTTTCAGGATGGTCTGACACGCTTCCTAAAGAACACATCCATCACACACCAGACACATAAATCCTCTGCATTCCCCGGCCCAGGTACCCTGGGGGCCTCAGCAAGGCTATGTCCTAGTAACGGTGCTCCCAGGGTGTCACTACTTGGTACCCTCTCAAGAATGACAGAGGCCCAGGGTGGAAGCTAAAGGACGCTACCAAAGGGACCAACACTGGCCTTTGCTTGGAGAGCACTTCCTGACCCAGTTCTCAGGCTGACAGACAGTGAAATGTTTGAGGGATCCTAAGGAGGTACTTCTCCCATCAAACCCCTTCATTAGATTACATCCTCCACGTGGGAGGAGAAGCCAGTCGGTCTTAACTGGCCAACCCCACAGTTGAATTCCAATTTTGGTCCATTGTCTTATGGCCAGTTCTAACAGCAGGGAGTATGTCTTCATAGCACCCCCTGCATTCCTTCCAACTCTCCTCCCCGTCCTACCCTCAGAAGTGATTATAGTTCTTCAGCCTCTCTTTTAGCTTGGTGTTTGGAGGAACAGCATTCTCCTGGATAAGAGAGCCACAGGCATGGCCACAGCCAAAGAGCCTGCAGGGGCCATTCCAGCTCCCACCTGGGGGACCCTCCAGGCCCAAAGCCCTGGGCTGGCCCTCAGCTCTGCCAGCTCCTGAGGCTCCTTACGTAGACGGCCTGCCCGTTGAGGTCAGTGCTGACGGAGGCGGCCGTGGGAGAGGTGTTGGGCACAGTATTAGTGCTTGTCTCGCTGATGTAAATCTTAGAGGTGGGGATTTTCAGAGCTCTGCTGGCCACCTGCCAAGAGAGACAACATCACACTCTGGGGAAGGGGTTAGCATGGGGCTCGTCTGCCTTCTCCCCAAGATGGGATTCAGGTTCACTGTTACAAGCAAGAAAATAATTTTATAAACTATAATTCTACTGAGACTGGGATGTTCTCAAATCTGTTTGAATTTGAAGCAGCAATTTTTATGGAGTGATTTCAGTGGATAAAATATTCAAAACCCAATGGTGACTAACAGTGCCTTTTTAAGCTAACCTTGGCTTTTTACAAAATCCAATTTGGCCAGTCCCATGAGCCAAGCAGGTGTGCCGACTCTGACCCAACTCCATCCTCCCAGCTCCACTGTAAAGAGTCTCATGTGTGTGCAGAACTAGCTACCTTTATGCACACAACACACCCACCTTACACACCGTCACAGAACCCTAGAGTGTTGGTAACATAAGTGACCTCAGAGATCACCTGGCCAACCTCTTTCCACAGATGAGAAAACTAAGCCAAGAAAGGGAGCAGACTTGCCCAAGGTCACATGTAGATGAGCAGCAGGGCCAGGGCCAGAGCTTAGGCCTGCTTCGGCTTCTGGTATATCCCACCACTGTGTTTGTCACAGCATCTTCCCTCACACAGACACCATGGAGTCAGAGAGGACTCCCACAGTCCCAGGCTGCTCACCTGGACCATCTTGGTGTGAAGGCCTTGGCCCATCTCAGTGCCCCCATGGGTCAGCAGCACAGAGCCATCTGTGTACACATGAATCAGGGCTCCTGCCTAAGGGAAGAGAAGGATGCCAGACACAAAGTTTGGTACATGCTAACTCAGCTTAGGGCTTGGGACCAAAGGTTCTGGGCCCCAGGAAAAAAAAGAAAACCAGTAGCAACATTTTGGATATAAACCCAGGCAGAAATCAGAGCAGTATAGATCTCATGATTTAATCATGTAGCTCTTCAGGAGTTTGCAAAACTTTTTCATCTCTCTCTGTCTGACTCACATTCTCATAGGGAGATAGGTCAAATATCTTGTTCACATTCTCATAGGGAGATAGGTCAAATATCTTTGTCCTCACTCTATAGATGAAGAAATGGGATCAGAAAGGCACCGTAACTGCCCTTAGTCCTACAGTCAGGAGGAGTTAGAACTAGAAGTTGACCCCACATCTCAGAGTCCCATGCTGTTTTCATTGTCCCATGACATATGGGACAAAGGGATATGCGAGTTCAACTTCCATTTTAACAGCAAAGAGCTCCTCTAGGCAGCTCTGTTACCAGTGACAATGGGCTTTCCCTGCAACACTACAAACAGAGGGGGAAATGGAGCCCCAGTCCAGTGGGGATGGACAAAATCATATAAAGCAATTACCTGATTCAGAAAATGAACTGTGAAGCTTACTCCAAACTTGGTAGGAACTATGCACAATCCTCTCTTTTTCCAACAATTCTCCCTGGAGAAAAAGTCACATTCTTACCATATTTGTGTTCAAAAGGTCATATTTTCAGTCAACACCTTTGTAAAACAGGAAGAAGTCACCCTCAGTGCTGCCCATATAGCCCTTGTTATCACTGAGTTGTGCCCCAATTACGGAGATAAAATGAGAAAGGCAGGAATTTGGGTTCTGAGTCCTTCAGTGCAGCCGCAGCAGGGCCCACCCTTGAGAGAACCAGCTTTAAAGTATCATCACTCTTCTTCCCTGAGTGGAATTCGGCTCCGGTCAGAGTGCCCCAGTGACCTTGGACGGTGATTGTCCCAGGGAGGAACTGTGGTTCGCTGATGAGAATGACAGCACTTTCACTGTGCTTTGTATTTGGTTTTCTGAGCAACTCAGTGAGGAAGACAGAGCCAGCATAATCATCCCCACTGTGCAGATGGGGGCTCAGGAAGATGGAATGGCTGCCATGGTCACATTCAGAGAGTAGTGTCAGAGCTGGCGCATAACTGTGATGTTCTCAGACCTGGGCTGGTGTTCGCTAGAACACGGTGTACCCGGAAGGAGACAAACCTGTAAAGATGAGCCACACTGATGGGCTATGATGCTCAGTGCTGTGAGCCCACCTGCCCCAGGCTGAAGGTCATTTCAGGATCTTAAAGAGATGGCTGTGAACAAGTTGGTAAACTCAGCAGCTTCATAAGTTATCCATTAAACTACCAGCTTCATATTTTGAGTTCAACAAAAAGGCTATAGAACATGAAACCCCAGAGAGCACCAGAACGTCAGACTCCTCCCCGCTCAGCACGTACTTGTTGAACTTGTCAATCTCACTCTTCCGGGCGTGATACTGGGAGCTTGCTAGGCATTCATCCCAGCACCTGGTCAAGGTGAACCCCTCGAGCTTCTGGTTGAAGTGTGTCAGGTCCCCTTCCTTGTACATGTTCTTCCTCCGCACCTTCCCAAGGAGAGAGACACTGAGGCCCAGTCAGTGGCAAGAGATGAGGGGGGCAAATCCTAAAGTCAACCTTCCAGACCCCTCAACAGCCCCTGCTCATCCTCTGCCCCCATGGGAGATACCCAAGATATACTGTCCCCTCAAAGTAGGCTAACCCACTCTGACTTGTGCCACCAAATTCCCAGCTTACTTCCTCTGCAGGCAGCCCACAGGTCACCGCAATTTCGCTCATCCAATGCTCAGCAATGAGCATCCCCTGGGGCCGCCCAAATCCCCGGAAGGCCGTGTTGGAGGGCAGGTTGGTCTTGCACAGCCACCCAGTGCCCCGGATGTTGGGGATTTTGTAGCCGTTGTCCATGTGTAATAGAGTTTGTTGCATTATCTGGAGCCGAGGTGAGAGTGGGAGAGAACACTGTGTTGACCTCATTGGCTCCTCAAAATAGAGATTTCAAGGGCTGCACCCATCCCTGCCTTTCCCAGCCCCACTGTGAACTGCTATTACTCAGGCCCAAATTATTTCTTCCCTGGGATATTGCAAGAGCCTCCTTACTGTGCTCCTGGCCTTCAGTGCCTCCTCCCTCCATCCCTGTCTCGTACTAAAATCTAAGGTCATATCAGGTCAAGCACTTGCTTAAAAACGGCACTTATTATCTCCAGAGTAAAGTCCATATGTCTTTAAGCATGGAATTCCAGACACTTTTGGACCTTTCCTTGATGTATTTTTTTGATCCTGTTTTCTGACTGCATGTTACTCTCACCTGTAACGCCCCTCCTCCCCTGACCCACCTACTAAAGTCCTCATTCAGCAACTCCATCGGGAAACCCTCCCAGACCCTCTAGTTGGAACTGATCACTAGCCTCTAAAAAAGGTGACTTTATTAATTTTAAATTAGCTTTTATTCCCATTAAAGTTGTACTAGAAATAGTTTGGAGTCAAATGCCTCCATAAGTCATGTTGTGCAAAACAGCAGCCCCCTCCTCTTCCCTTCCTTCCGCTCCCCAGAGGCAACCACTCATTCTTCATCAGCTATTTACATTAACTTCCACATGTCTAAACAATGTGTTTATGTTGCCACTTCTCGTTTTTTCCAGTTTTAGACTCTTATATTGTTTTCCCCTTATGGAAAAGGAGAATTTAGTTCCTACCTAACCCCTTTCCCTGCTACACATCAGCTTCCTATCTCCCACATAGTTATATTTTGATCTGATCACTAGTCACTTTAATATCAGAATTCTGTAAACATTACTTATAGGTGAACCATATAGTTGTACTATGATTACTTCTCTTTCTTGATAACATTTTTCCTCCTGGAGTTAATATTATCTTTATTTTTTCATTTGCTTAATCTTCTATGCACTTATTACCAAGTCAACTTAAAGTTTTCCCAGTTCAAAAAATCTGCTCTCAATATGTTCAAATATATTAGATTTTCTATCAGTTTTGTCTTTTTGAAGAAATCCTTCCTGAAGCCTTCTGGCCTACTCCGATTTAAATTGGCTGCCCTTGGATTTTCCACTCACATTGATCCTGGGGATTCCTCTTGCCTCCTTCCATATTGAATCTCCTATTCCTAGATCCCATGTCTTCCCCTTTCTTGGTTCTACACTCTCATTTTGTTGAAACACATCCTTCCATATCTTCTTTACAAAGAGTACGTAGACAGGAATATTTTTGAGAACTTGCATGTCTGAAATGTCTTTATTCTACTCTAACCCTTAATTAATGATTTGGCTGCATATAGAATTCTAGGTTTAAAATACATTTCCCAGTTTCCCACCGCATTTTGAAGGCATTTTGCTAATTCACTCTAGCTCCCCAGTATTGAGAACTCCAATCAATGCTTTTCCAAGTGTTGGAATGAGCTCTGTTTTTTTCCTCCCTGAAAATCGTAAAATCTTCTCTGTCCCCAGGTTTCTAAAATTTCACGATGATGTAAATTAGCAGAGGTTCATTTTCCTTCATTGTGCTGGTTACTGGAAGGGCTCTTTTAATCTCAAAATGTGCGTTTGTCAGTTTTGGGAAATTCCTTAAATTACTTACTGATAGCTTTGTCCTCTGTCTTTTTTCCATTCTTTCTTTCTGAAACTTCTATTACTTGCATCTCCTGGATGGGACCTCCAATTATGTTATATTTTCTCTCCTATTTTTCCACATTGTTTTCTTTGTTGGGAAGAGCTCCTCAAGTTTCTTTCACCTCTTCTGCTTTCACAGTTTTAATTCACAAGACTTCATTTTTATTCTCTGACTGTTCTATTTTTATAGCATCCTGGTCTTTCTCTAAGGTGTAATGTCTCATCTCTCTGATGAGATAAACGATAGTTTCTATTTGTGGGTTTCATTTTGGATTTAGTTTACTTCCCCACAGGTTTCTTTTCGCATCTTTGATTATTTCAGTCTTAGTCATCCTAGATGGTTTTTGTATGTCTCAATTCCTTCCATTTCTGCTTTCCCTTAGCACTTTCTCAGCTTGTACTTCTATTTCATTTTGTCTTTTATTATCTATCTGTCTCCCCCACCATACTGTGAATGTCTTGAGGGCAGAAACAATGCCATGTTCTTCTTCATGTTGCCACCTTAGGCACATAATAAATACTTGCTGGATTGAATTAAAAAGCTTGTAAGATCTTTTGGGACAAGTACTAGATCTTTTTCAACCTGATTTTTCCTACAGCACCAAGAAGCAAATGTTATAAACAGTGAGAATACTAGTAATGTTTCATTTCTGGAGCAGTTTTTACCCAAGATCTGAAGTGTGAAGTTTCCTAACTGAGCCAATGAGAGAGCCCCTCGCAGGGAGGAGCTGCACCCAAGTAGGGGACAATGGGAACTCTGCTTGTGCTGAAATGCTTGATTTTACAACAGGAATCTATGTGTATGTAACTAGTATGGCTATAAAACTAAGATTTAAAAAACTTTAAAAAGTAGTACCACCAAGGTAACTTTGTTAATTTTCAAAATTGACAAAAAAATATGCCTCCACAAGACTCGTATGAGAATGTTCAAAGCAGATTATCCACAAAAACTAAAAACTGGAAACAACCCAAATGTCCACAGAGCGGTGAATGGAAAATAAAATATGGTCTATCCATACAAGGGGATATTCTTCATCAGTAAAAAGGAATGAAGGACTATACGTGCTATGACATGGATGAACCTCAAAACACTATTCTGAGAAAAAAAGCCAGACACAAAGCTTACATAAGGTATGATTCTATTTACGTGAACAGACCACACAAAATGAAAATCTATTAAGACAGAAAGCAGATTAGTGGTTGTCTGGGTCTGGGGGTTGGGAACAGGAGTGACTGCAAATGGACACAAGAGATCATTTTGGCTGATGGAAATGTTCCAAAACTGGATTGGGATAATGGTTGTATGACCCTAAATTTACTAAAAACGATTAAATTGTATACTTCAGATGGGTGAGCTTTATACCATGAAAAGCATACTTCAATGAAATAGTTAAAAAAAATTTCAACTCATCAACTCAAATTTTAAATAATTTGTAATGTAGGAAATGACAATGTGTGCCCACCTCAATCTCATCCAATCACTATTTGGTGTATGTTCTTTCACACATTTTCCCTGCATATCGTTTTATATATATATATATATATATATATATATATATATATATATATATATAAAACTATATATATATAAAACTACTATTACATTCATACACACACAGTATCACCATGCTGTACATAAAGTTTTGTAAGTAACTTTGCGTGCTTGGCAAGAATGGGAAGGACGAGTTTCTAATCAGAGAAGTAATAGGATCATATCTGTGCTGTGGAGATTAACCAAGGATGGAGAACCCAAGTGGGATCCATTTAGGAGACTACTGCAACAGTAACAGGCAAGAAATGAGGAGGACTGTACTCATATGTGCGAACAAGCTGTAGGGTGTGCCCTTGACCTCCCGGTCACCCCGGGATGCAGGGGCGGGTGCTACTTACAGCCTCAGAGAGATCAAGGGTGTTCCCAGCATTGCTGTAGTGATCCACCTCCAGAGCCACAATCCTCCCAGTCTTCATGAAGCCAACCTGCCAAAAAGGCGAGGGATTTCTCCACAGTCCCCTCCTCTGCCTATCTCTAATCATTTCCTCCCACCTACGCTACCTGGAGGAAACGGAAAGAACAGGACATCACACCAAGAAAACAAGGTGAACTTAACGGGTGGAGAAGAGAGGACCTGACATCTCCCCAGTGACATACCCCTGGATCCTCACCTCTGGACACCGTCTCCCCAGCCTCCTCCTTCTTTCTACCTACTCCTGGCTTCTGGTTCTACCAGAGAGAGTGAGAAGGTAGAAAAGAGGATGCTGGTCATGAAAGGGCAGGGAGCAGGGCTGGGAAGAGAAACGAGGAAAGATGCTGGAGGCTCCCCTCACAGCTTTTGGCCAGCAAACAATAAAAGTAACACTTTGCACGAGCACGAATGTGCTTTCACACCCCTGACCTTATGTAACCATCAAGACAAACCCTACAGGCCACTTCATAAGTGAGGAAATGGACCCCAAAAGACGAAGTTACTTTCTTCAAGCCCACTAAAACAGGGGAATGGGAGAAATACAATCCATTTTGGGGAGTTAAATCATGAAACAAAGTCAGAGTAGGTCAAAGGGGAGATTTTCAAAGCCAGCTCCTTGAGAGAGAGGGCTCCCAGGTTTATAGAGCTGCACGGGACCTGTAAGGTTATACTGGTGTGAACAGAGAAGGAGCACATGGTCAGAACAGGAACTGATCATCCACAAAAGCCCAGAAAAGGGACTGTCGCACAGGGAAATTGGGCAGTGCCCAGCCACACACGGTCTGGCAGGGCAGGTGCCCACCCCAACAATGTGTGCCTGTCCAGGCCCCTGGAAAGTATTATTCCTCATTGTAAATTACCAAGCGGTCATTCTGATTTTTACATCAGACCATCAACACACTAACACTATGTCATCCTGCAGGATGGATTTGCCCCAGGTCTGAAGAAAAATCAGGTTTCTGAGCCTGAGGGGAATAAGACCAGATTTGGACCACAGCAAACTCACAAAAGTGATGAACGCCACCCTGCGACATTGCTTAGGAGCCAGCTTCCCCCAGCATCACCCCTCTAAGCTGCTGTTGGCTGGTTTGAATTTCTCTCATCGCTATTTCTTCTTTGCACTTGTACAGATAGTCATGAAAAAACTCAGAGTACATCCCAGAATCCCTGGGTCTTCATCCCCAGTTTCCTAACGAGATGGCATTGCCCACCCTGGCACAGCCCACGACATCTAGAACCTTGTATCTGGCCAAGAAAGGATGTCTGCCGCCGGTTATCAGCATGTCCTCGTCACGATCCAGCATGCAGCGCACAGGGCAGCCAGTCCTGAGGGAGGCATCAGAGGGTGAGAGACCTGGGAATCTCTATACCAGCCCAGCCCTGGGAGTCTCTCAGGGATGAAAACAGCAAGGAAAGCTGTTACCGCCTGGCACACAGAACATACCCACACTGGGCTGCTCTACTGGCTAGACACTGTGTTGTACAAGGTGAGGAATGTGAGGATGGGAGGTGTGTCCTTGCCCTTGGAGCTCTCACAGCCAGGTTGGGAAGATAAGACATGGACACGTGTGTCAGAACATAAAGAACCAGGTGATGTTTCCCTCACCCCTATACCCAAGAGTTCTAAAAACAGAGAGCTATGAAAATGCAAAAGTAAGGGGAAATGACTTCCCAAAGAGGGAAACCCAAAAGCATTCCTGGCAGAGGTGGCCTTATTCTTCTTTCCAGAGCCCACTGGGAGAACTCACTTGTATGCACCCACGGCAACTGCCGTGGACACCAGGGTGCTTCGGATCTCCTTCCCTCCAAATCCTCCTCCAAGTCGCTTCACTCGGATCAAAATTCGATTTGCTGGAACCCCCAACACTTTTGCAACAAAGGCCTGGGGACGAAAGAAAAAGCCCTCACACTGAATGCATCATCTCGCCCTACTTCAGGCTTGACCCAGAGGCTGCCTGCTATGCACAGGCCTGACTACTGCTGTGAAGTCTGAAATTCCCTGATTGGAGGATCCCCTCCCCTCCCAGTGCAGTCCTCGGGAGTGGTGCTGGGGTCCGGCACTCATCAGTCACTGCAGTCTGAATTCAGACACTTGTGCTAACCAGAGGGGCAAGCAGCTGGTCACAGCACACTTTCAGAGCCAAAACTCATTCTAATTGGCCAGGAGCTGGTGGGTCATGAGAGTAGGACCATTTGCCAAGAATGCTGACAACCACTGTCACATCATAGGCAGTAGAGAAATGGGGAGTGTTTTCTCTACAGAAATTTATGTGAGCTGCTGCAGATAATTTAGTGGTCCCTGTGGCTACCTCTTAGCCCAACACCTTCATTTACACAGGAGGGGACTGAGGCCACATAGGATTTGACCAAGGCCATGTAGCACTGGAATGATAGTAGCTAACACTAACTAGGCTCCATACAAATATTAAACCTCACCTAATCATTACAACAACACTTCCAAGCCCCAAGTTATAGAGGAGAAAGTTTATGTAACAAGCTCAGTGATACCAGCTTGTTGGTGACAGGGTCTGGCTCCAGGACCACTAACCCCAAATCCCATTCTGGACCAGCCTAGGTCTGCCTCTTCACATTTCCACATTGCCGCTCCTGATCTGCCAGGAGCTCCCTGGAGCCCTCCCCAGGCCCTTGAGCAGACCCACGGGACACCTACTTGGGTCTTCGTGGTGTTCTGTGTAGACACAAAGAGCTCCATCTCCCCTGCCTCCCCTTTCGGGACAGCGATGGCACAGTGAGTCTCCAGGTAGAAGTGCTCTTGGCCGCCAATGTAAAACTCACCTGGGGAAGCAATATAACTCCCAAGTGAGCCCCAGGTTGCAGAGGGGGCGAGTTTGCTTAAGGAGAGAGTGTACTTGCCAAGTGCCCTATGCAGGAACCAATGGCTCACAAGTAACCTCTAGGTTCCCCAACTGGGTCAGAAAAGGGTCTCAAAGTCTTACCCATCTGGGAGATGAATCCCCGACCCCAATGAAGAAACTAGAATGACATTGAAATGCATCAGGCGTGAAGCTCTCTTCTCACTGCAGCCAGTGGAAATCAAAGATTTTAAAACTATACTCATAAAATGTTGGAAAAGGTAAAAAAAAAGAATTAACAGATGCGACTGAAAATATCTTCCAGAACTGAAGGTATCGGGCCTGATGGAGAATTGACTTACTAGTGACTTAGTGATACACCAAACCAATGTAGAAGACAATTCCACAAGGAGTCTGATCAGCAGCCTTGTCCTGGGGTGAAAGCAATGGACCCAATTTACACTGAGGAGGGTTGTGGAGGAGGGGAGAGGGAGCACCAGTCTTCAGGCTGATGGGGAGGGCCAGGAGTCTGTGTGGTTAGAGGCCTTGCAGACCCAAGGGCGGCCAGGCATCTATGGCTGTTATCTTCCCCAGACAGTCTTCCAGATCCCACACACTCTCATCTCTCTAGAATCACTGAGATATATCCAGCCTCGAGTCAGGGGAGCGGAGATTAAGATGACTGAAATTCTTCCCCAGCCAACTGTCTCCTACTTTGTTATAAAGATCAGAGGACCTCTTCTGTTAGGAAATGATAGGAAAGCACTTCCCTGCCCCAGGATCAAGGGACAGCTCTTGAATTTCATTCCCAAACCAGGGCCACCCCATCCCCACTGCTGCCTGGTGCAGCTGTACCTGAAACAATGTTATCTGCTTCTGCAAAGCCCTTCTGGAGGTCTCCTTTCTCAATCTTGAGCTCAGATCCATAAAAGGAGTTGTGTTTTATGGCATCCTGAGGGTCATAAAGAAGTGTCAGTGACTTGGCTTTCAGGAGAGAAAGGTGGATTCCAATGGGGGAAGAGAAGCTGTTGGAATGGCTGCCTTTCTCTTCTCACATAGGCATCTCGACAAGCTTCTTATACAGACTTAAAGTGAGCTCACACGCAGCCCGCAGGGTCGCATTCCTCCATTTCCTCAGATATACATGGACAAGCTCGGATCTTGAGGAAAAGCAAAGAATCCCTCAAGGAACCAACTGGAGCTGAAACTGGGAAGGAGGAGCTCAGTCGGCCATTAGTAGACTGAGTCTAGGATCACGATGGGGAAGGTTTCATAGGACCACACAATCCCAGGACTGGAAGAGATTTTAAAACCTATCTAAAAGAAGATGTGGTGTATATATATATATATATATATATATATATATATATACACAATGGAATACTACTCAGCCACAAAAAAGACAAAATCATGCCATTTATGACAATATGGATGGAGCTCGAGGGTATTATGGTGAGTAAAATAAGTCAGACAGAGAAAGGCAATTAGACAAACAAACAAACACATAGATAAGGAGAACAGATTAGTGGTTACCAGAGGAAAAGGGGGTAGGGGGAGGGTGAAAGTGGTAGAGGGGCACTTATGTATGGTGACAGATAAAAACTTGACTGTTGGTAACGAACATGATGCAGTCTGTACAGAAACTGAAATATAGTGATGCACACCTGAAATTTACACAATGCTGTAAGCCAATATGACCTCAGTAGAATAATTTTTTTAAAAACCTATCTAATCAACCCCCGTCTGCTCGAATCTCCTCTAGAGGATCCTAATAAAGGCGCCTCCAGGGAGCTCACCCCTCTCCATAGGAAGCCCGTTCTCTGTTACCTCGATTGTGATAATGGCTGGAAGGTCTTCATAGGTGATTTTCACTGCTTGAGCAGCTCTCTGTGCATGTTCTGGGGTGTCAGTGACCACAGCACCAATGATGTGCCCAACACAAGTCACCTAGGAGCAGAGCAAGAGTGCTGAAGAACATAACTAAGCTCCTCATGAAGCAAATTATTTTGGGTTGTCCAAAAAGGCCAAGGACCCCCTGCTCCCACTATTTCCTGTTAAGGCCCATTTTAGGAATGACCTGGGGCTCTTTATTTCCTTATCCTACTATTTGGAGTTATGTGCTTCTTCATAAGTGTTTAGAATCAGTAGAACTGTGATAGGGGTTGCAAGTCACTCGTATCAGGATGGCAAACTCACTTCATTTCATGGACCAATTCTGATGACTTAGTACTGGCAACCTGTTGAGAAGCTGCCCCGGATAGAATGTGGTGATTGATTAGTGATGTCTGTCATGAGCCGCAAAATGGGAGGTGTGGCAGCGTGAAGTGCATCTGTCAACTTGCATCTACTCCAACACCCTTGTTCTTCATGAGAAGAGACAGAGACCCAGAAGGCAAGATCACAATTGACTCATGACTAGAACATGACTAAATCTTAGCCCCTGACTCGCAGTTCCCTTGTCTTTCCACCACCCCACTGTCTTCCATCTTCCATTTCCCAGATTTTTACCAGAAGCTGCTCAAAGGCAGCAATCATGCCTTACAACCCATCTAGATGCCCAGAAGCAGTAGTTCCTGACCACTGGGTCTTAGACTTGATGACCCGTAAACCAGTTTTTTTGTTAGATTTATAGAATGATGATTATGGCTTACTTTTAATTTAATAATTTAGTCCCTATAAAAGCTTACTGGATCTCCTTCAGAGATAATTTTCTCCCAACATCCCCCCAAAAATAAACAACAGAAAAATTGTCCAACTCATCACTTTGGAATACGAGATTTCTGAAAATAGGAACCAGTACTTAGCATGCCTGTCTCTGGTATTTATCTCTCCAGGACCCAACTAAGTTATTGACTTAATTCATTAGCACAGCGGTTGTTGAACCTGGCTGATTCTCACTGACCGTAACGCCAGCAAGGGTCTTAGAGGCTCTGGAAGTCTGTAAAGCAGTTTGTTCTTCGTTAAAGGCTCTCCTTTTGGAGTCTTTGTGTCTTCTGGTTGTAGATGTTCATTCTCTGCTTCACTTTTATGTCAACAATAAGGTGAATTTGCCCTCCAGCCACACCTACCCTCCTCCAATTTGCAAGAATTGATCTGTATTGGAATTATAAAGTGACTGTCTGAGAACTATCCTAGAAGGATATGGATTTTAGTAGCAGCTATCTTGAATGTTTGGAACCTTTTTTTTTTTTGGCAGATCTGTCTATGTAGTTGAAAGCAATAGATTAACTTTCATAAAACGGAATTATCAATACACATAGTGATGGTATCATGATTCCTATTCTGGCTAGTTTGTTTAATGTGTTTTTATTTTCTTCTAATAAGGGAGCTTAATATTGTACCCTTAAGAACCTGATTGTTAGTTCAGACACATTCAATAACCTTGTTTTAATGCCACTTTGGCGTGGAATCATCCTACTATGTACAAATAGCAGCCAGCACTTAAATAAACACGTAAACATTAAGTTAAAATTAAAAGTGCTGCCAGGCACATTCTATCCTCCTAGTGATTTCCCTGAATACTGGCCAATGGCATGATGCCCACAACATGTGCAAACATACCATCTTTTCAAGATTAGGGACTTGAAGGAATGAGCACAAATTAAAACTTAAATACTCATTCCACTAACTTCCTAGAAAAAAAAAATCCAAGACGTACCTCATCATTCGCAAAGACTGTTTCATCATTAAAAAATCCAGTTTTGTTACTTCCCGAAACATCATCAGCAGAGAGAAAACAAACAAACCCTGGCACCTTCTGAGCTTCTGAAGTATCGATGGACCTGCAAGAATGAGCCACATGAGGGGCCAGGCAGGAAAACCGAAGAGGAAGACCTGTCACCCAGTTGGATATCTCTGCCCTCCTTTTGATGGATTTTCCTCCACTCTAATTCCTCCCCTCTGCATCTTCTATCCTATTCGATCCTATTCTATTCTATTCTACCCTATTCTGTTCTGCAAAGGTTGATTAAATGCTTACCATGTGAGGCCACTGTGCTGAGTGCTATGGGGGATATGAGATGAACAGGACAGCCCCACCCCTGTGGACCTTTAAAGGCCATATTCTGGTCTCCAAGTACAAAAGAATAAAATCATAATGAGTAACATTTACTCGGAAAGCTCCAGATAAAACCACTTCACAGCTAATACCTATCTAGAATGAGCACATTAGAGCCCTTGCTGTACCACCTATCCAGCATCCCTGGACATCGTCACACTACAGAATTTCTCTCCCCACATTCATGGAGCTATCCCAGCATGGTGGGGCACCCCGGCCATAATCAGGTAACCCAAATCCCAAAGGGAGATTGCCTGGAGACTTTGTCAATTCTAATGGTGTAAACTATGTACTGCTCACTCTGGCCCATGCCCCCATGGGGAAATAAGGCAGAGGCCCCTAGAGAAATGAATGGAAACCCCTCTGAAGTACCAGCCAACTTCCAAACAGGTAACCCTCACCAGAGCCCCAGAAAGTCGTTGTCATTATCCCCATTTTACATTTGGGGAAACTCAAGCTCAGGGAAGTTAAGTAGCTTGTCCAAAGTCACCCAGCCAGAGAGCAGCACAGCTGGGATTAGGACCAAGGGTAAGCTAGGAAGACTGCCAAGGTCAGGTGGGCTTCTGCTCTACCCTTCCAAAAGCGTGCAGCCAGGAAGACCCTGATCGATACAGTCACTAGAGAGCCCCCCCCCCCCCAACCCAAACCCTATCCTCCTGCATCCCTTCAGACATCACTCAGACCGGGCAAAGATGTCTGAGTGTAGACAGTGCAGGTCATGGTACTGTCCACATGGGCTCAAGACCAGGACAAAGGCAAATGAATTTAGCCCATGGCTGGACACCATAGCATCTGAAACAAACACTTTTTATGGGGGCGCACCTGGAAGAGTTGATTTATCTGTTAGGTTTTATCTGGGTCCAGGCCACCATTCCTGGAGCCTGTCTCCAGGCTAGGAGCAGCAGCAGAGGGAAGGCCAATGGTAAGGAGATCCCATCCGTATCCACGCAGTGGCAGGGCCCAAGGGAAGGTTCCCCAGCTGCTCGGCTCAGCGGGGCAGGCGTCTAACGCCCACCAGGAAATCAAGCTCAGCCTCAGGCCTGAGCATCCGGGGCAGCACAGCCAGGCGCTAATGCTGCCTGGCTTCAAACTCCAGCTCCGCCTATGAACTGTGTGGCCTGGAGCAAGTAACTGACCCTGCTCGTGCCTCAGTTTCCCCATCTGGAACATGAGGATAATAATAGGACCTGTCTATAGGGTTGCTGTGAGGAATAAATGAGCCAATATGTGTAAAATGCTTTAAACCAGGCTGCAGCAAACATAAGCTCCATGTGAGTGTTAGGTATCATCACTATTATAGAGGTGGCAATTCTTGCCATTTAGGCTCTCAAAGTGCAACAAATAGGTACAAGCGACTGTCCTCTGCTAGGTCCTTTGTGGAAACTCTGCCTGATCCTTACAAAAACATCCTATTACAGATGGGGAAACTGAGAGCTGAAGTGCACAGGTCAGGTCACAGTTGCTAAGCCCTGGGACAGGGATTTAATCTGAGGTGTGTCAGACTCTAAGGCCATGTTCTTGCTTTTAGCGCTGACTCAAGTTCTCCTGAAAATTTGCCTTGAAGTTTAGCCCAGTATCCAAAGCGCAGATCTAACCTGGTCCTGTTGAAGGTCTTCAGCAGCTCCCATTGCTTGCCCAGGGCCAAGTGTAGTCTCCCTGCTCAGCACTTTCCCAGCCGGCCCCTGCCTACCTCCCTGATGTCATCCCCTCCCCCATCCCAGGCACCCCTGAGCCCCGAACCTCTCCTGCTCCTCTCCAGACTGGCTTTAAGATCCCCCTGTTCCTCTCTAGACCCAGAGACCCTGGAGGGGCCTCGTTATGTCGGCATCTCCAGTGCACGGCAGGGTGCTCCCAGCACCCTACTCCTGGGTGTATTTACTATACTCACTTGATCTTGGCGTGGGCCCGGGTGCTGGTGACCAGTCGGAGGGACAGCTCATTCTGATAGCGAGGGATGTCGTCACAGTACATGGCCTCTCCACAGGCCTGCATGGATGCGCCCAGGTGGGGCAGGGGCCGGCCCACCATGTCCTCCTCAGACTGACCCTTGGGCACCTCCTGGAACAACATGGTCACCAGTCAGGCTGAGCTGCAGAGGACACAGTTCTTTGACAGGCCCAGGGAAACCATGGAGAGCTTCGGGCCAAAGCAGACCTGAGGAGTGGGACTGGAGGAGGCAGGAGGGGCACGGGGCGAAGGAAACAGAAAGGCAGATGAGAAGCCATTGAGAAGGTGGTCATAGTATCACTACATACAGTAACACCAAGAAAAAGGAGGAATTCCAATGTCCATTCATCGGGAGTTGGGTAAATAAATTATGCTATGCTCATACAATGGAATAGTATGCAACTACTGAGAAAATAATACTTTTGAAGAATTTTAATTAGAAGGAAAGAATGATCACATTAAATGTAAAAACAAGACATAAAACTTTTTGTGTGTGTGTAGAATGATTCAAAGTCTGTAGAAAAAACATATATTATAAATATAGCATATACAAGTCGATATATAGATAGGAAAAAATGGAAAGAAGTGAAAAAATAATAATAATGATTTTTTTCTTAGAGGTGGGATTTTGGATGATTTTTATTTTCTTCTTTATACTTTTCTGTATTTTCCAACATGATCTAAAATGCATTCATTTTATAATAAAATTTTGTTTTATGTGTTCTTCAAAATAATAATAAAACTGACATATTTATTGAATGTTGGCTACCTGCTATGAACTGTCTAAGCTATTTAGTTTTACTACTACATTTCAAACCATCCTATGAAACAAAGTCCATCATCATCCACACTTTCAGGTGGATATAATTAACACACCCAAGAGGGCCAGAGAGGAAGTCACTTGTCTGAGGTGACACAGTTATAAAATGCAGTTTGGATTCAAGTCCTGGTAGTCAGGCCCAGAGTCCACGATTTGGACCATTACACTCTAGTGCAGGGGTCCACAAACTGTGGCCCATGGGCCAAATCTGGCCCACTGCCTCTTTTTATAAATAATGTTTTATTGGTACATAGCCACACACATTCATTTGTGTACTGACTCTGGCTGCTTTTGTGCTACCATGACAGCATTGAGGAGTTGCAACAGATACTGTGAGGCCCACAACAGCCAAAATGTTTATAAGAATAGCTGACCTTTTACCTAGTGTCTCTCAAAAAGTTGCTGTTGATAGAAAGTTGTTCTTTTGTTTTATTTTGTTTACATGCTCCAGAGAACTCCTGGCTTTGCAGAGTAGCCCCAGAGAGGCACCGGAAAAGACAAAATGGAAAAAAACAAGATTATCTTTAAGGAACAGGTGAAGATGAGAGCAATCCCAAGAGAGAAATTTAGGCGAGTGAGAGGGGAAATGGCTTCATTGACATTAATACGATTCCCATTTTCTTCACTGTATATTTCTGCACAACAGCAAGGAGCTTTAAGCACCTACATACAATTCAACTAGGTCATTGCCAATGGTCAGCATCATCTGATGTGGCCTGCAAGGGGCCCTGATATTAGCTGAACACCCACTGTACTCACTTGGAAGAGTTGGACGTTGGTGGGAGGGTCTTTCTGAAAGAGTAAGGTGGCACTGGCAAAGGTGGGATCCAGTTTACCACACTTCTGTGGAGGCAAGAAAACAGAAGTGATCATGACTATTTCTATCATTGATCCCATCCTTGGCTGTCCCCAGGTAGTAATTGTAACAATTGTTCTCCTCATCTTCTCATTTTACACTCATAGTACCGGCTGGATCTCTCTCAACACCCGAGTGTGGGCTCTGAGAGCTCAGTATTTCGTAACAGCCTCTTCTCTCCCACCACCCCTGCACCCTGCATAATCAATGGTTGGTGCTTCCCCCCAATGCCCAACAGTTTCCCTTCTTCCCGCATCTATGCATGCTGCTCTCTCTGTTGGGAATAACCTTTTCCCCCAGCCTTTCTGGAAATGTCTTCCTTCTTCTCCTCAATTCTGTGGGAAATATTTAATGATATGGGAAATGTTCACAATATAATCTCAATGAAATCAAGGGGACATAAAACTCTATATGCAGCATGACCCCAAATCTGTTTAGAAAATAATGTACCCAGATCAAAACATAGGAAGATGATAGATACACAGACAGATGGATAGAAGAATAAACAGAAAGAAAAGGAGAGATGGAGCACACAAACAGAATGACAGATGGACAGATAAATGTAGGAAAAAGATGAGAGGAATAAGCAAACAAAAATCAGCCATGGTTTTCTCTAGAATCTCAGAGTATTTTTAATTTTTTCCTGATACATTTCTGTATTTTTTGTTTTCCAAACAAGTTTATTTCTTTTCTAATCTGAAAAAAATAGGTATTACCAATGTTTTTAAAAGAGGGCTTTCACTCTGCTGTCCTCACATCTATCTTCACTCAGCTCCCCCACACTCCATCTCCTCAGTGTCACACTAGGCTGGCCTTTATCAATCCTGTTCTCACCCACTCTAGCCTGGCCCCAGTGCCTAGTGCAATCTCACCATATAAAAGCTGCAAAATAAATGAACCAATCTCAGGAGCTGGGCTCCACCTCAACCAGCACCTTCTCCTGCATACACATCCTTGCAGTGACCACATTCCCCCCGGCTGTAGCAGCCCCACTTGACATTCTCATTCCACACTGTACATTCCCATCCTAACTACAAAGCCACAGTTGTACAGCTATACTGCTGGAAGGATCATCTGGCCTACCAGGTGGCTGAGCCTTTTGCAGATTTTACAGCTGAGACTTAAAGAGAGCTGTGGCCTATTCAAATTGTCACATGAGGTAATGACACAGCCAAGACAAAAATCCATGTCTGACTCCTAGCCCAGTGCTCTGCTTCTCAGCCACCTAGTTGGCTCCCATCTCTGTGTGACTCCCTGGGTTGTGTCCCTGGTCCCTGCTCCTCTGCCCTTTGATGTCCAGAGGAGAGGAGCAAGTTTACCACCTGGTCCACAGCACTCTCTTGCCCAGACCAGCTTCCCAAATCCCCAGACGAAAGTGCTGCAGAGAGTCTGCTCCTTGCCCAGGCCCCTCACTCACATCTTCCGAGTCCACTTTGCCCAGCTTCTGAAGCACCGTCAGGTAGAACTTGAAGAAGAAGCTGAGGGTGAGGGTGCGCCGGAACTCTATCATGCCACCAGGGGCGTCAGGGGCCAGTTGCAGCTCCTCCGCCAGGCCTGCACACACGTCCTGCAGCAGCTCCTCATTCCAGAACCTACCAGAGAACAGGTCATGAGACGGCGCTCCTATCCAGCCCTCAGAATCACTTGTGTGGAGTGGTACGCACAGGGCCTCAAAGGCATACGAACCTCGGTTCAAAATCTGGCTCAGATGCTTATAGTTACATGACTTTAGGCAAGATACTTGACCTCCTTGTGCCTCAATTTCCTCGTCTTTAAAAATAGATACAATAAAAACGACCACAAAAATAATAGTTAAATCTACTAAGACTTTTCAATGCATTAGGCAGTCCTAAGTGCTTTATATGAAACGTTACTTTTAATTGAAATTAAAGTGTTGAGGGCAAAGTTTTATATTTATTTTACTGATGCAAAAACTAAGGCATGGGAAGATTAGGTAACTTGACTTATATTACCCACCTGGTTGTGTTGGAGCCAGGAGTTGGAACCAAGGAGCCAAATGCCAAAGTTAAGCTTTATCTATCAATATGGTTATTGTAAGGATTACATAGGATAGTGCCAGTGAAGTGCTTGGTACAATTGCGGCCGTATCATGGTCATACAAATAGTAGTACTCAAAGTAATAGTGGAGCTATAGTAATAGTCTAGTAGCAATAGCAATAGTAGTGGTAGCAGCAGCAGTACTAATAGTAGTTATAATAGCGTTGCCAGATGCAGTAATAGTAGGAGTAGTAGTGGATGCAATAGTAATACTGCTTAGTAGAAGCACAAGTAATAGTAGCAGTAGAAGAAGCAGTGGTAGTAACAGGAACAACATCAGTAATACTACTGTGCTACTACCCACACGAGTGCTAACAACTATTGGTAATAATAGTCGCAGCAATAGTACTAGTAGCAAAAGTAATAGTGGTAGTAGCAATAACAGTAGTAGCAATGGCAGTAGTGATAGCATTAAGAGTGGCAGCAGTAGCACTATTAGTAGCAATAGCCAGAGCAGCAGCAGTAATAGTAGTAGCTTTAATAATAGTATTAGTAGCAGAAGAGACAGTGATAGTAGTAGCAACAGTAATGGTAACAGAGGCTGCAGTAGTAATACTAGTCATAGTAGTGATAGTGGTAGGAATAGCAGCAGTGATAATAGCAGTAGTGATGGTAGTAGGAACAGTAGTAATAGTAGTAGAAGTAATAATATGAGTAGCACTACCAGTAGTAATTATAATAGTAGAAACATCACCAGTAGTAACAATAGTAATAGTGGTCACTGCAGCAGGAGTAGTAATAGTATTAAATACTATTTAGTATTTGTAGTAGTGCAGTAGTAGCAATGGTAATAGTAGTATAGCAGCTGCAATACTATTAGTAGTGCAATTAGTAGTCATACTACTAGTAGCAACAGTCATCATAGCAGTAGTAGTAACCATGGCAAAACCAGTAGTAATAGGAGTAGCCGCAATAGTAATACTTTATAGCATTGGTACTAGTAATTACTATACTGACAGTCACAGTAGTAGCAGCAGCAGGGATAGCATTAGTAGTAACAGCAGCAATAATACGTGGTTGTAGCAGCAGTGTCATTTACTGTTGGCTCTTACTTTGACAGCTGCTTCCGAGTCGTCTTGAGGGCTGAGATGGTTCTGTCGGCCATTCCACCATAGCAAAGGACCAGCTCTTCTATCTGGGTGGTCCCTGGCTTGAACAGGACCCTCATGCCACTGGTCACCTTGGCTACATAATCTTCTCTCCCAGAGGACTGCTTGAATGATGAGAAAAACTCACCCTAAAAAATAACAGAACAGAACCTGTGTCCCACCTTGGTTTGCAAGGAATGCAGATTTTGAGCCTAAAATCCAGGGATACCCGGTGAGGTGAGGTGATAATACCATTGCAAACCAGCAAGGAGCTGGTGGCAGGAATCAAAGATCGAGACATGACTGACAATCACATTCTTGGGAGAAATTCCAGATCACATTCCCAGGAGCTGGGAAAGGGTCAGGATTTCTCCCTGTTAGTCAGGAAAGCTGAAGGGCAGGGACAAAGGAGAACTGGGTGCTCTCAACCAGACAAACAGCTGGGAGGAGGCAAGGCACTTTCACAAGGTCTCCTCAGAGATGCCTCAGCCCCCTTGTCTCCCCATCCTGGGGCCAGCATCAGAGCCCACCCGGCTTCCCGGGGCTGAGGTGAAACCTCTGTTGGCCTGACTGCCTCTCAAGCAGATACAACAGGATGCCAAAGGGTGTTTGAAACACACCGTCAGCTTGTAGCTTCTGCAGACACTCTCTCTAACTTGTCTCTCCCACCAGTCTATTGGCTGCAGTTAGAAATCTTCCTGAAAGAAGGAATCGCACTATGAAACAACAGCTGCCTCTGTGATCTGAACATGATTTTCCCCCTGGGTCCAAGCCAGGCTCTGTCCTTGGGGACAGGAGGAGCGCATGAGTGGCTTTCCAGGTAAGAACCATCTGATGTGAAGCCCTTTCCGTGTCAAGTTCCTCTTGAGGTTTGAACTCATCCTGGCACCACAAATTCTGATTAACATCGAAGGCTGGAGGTTTAAGGAAAGGTGAAGTGGAGAAAGCACAATGAGGCCCATTGTCAAGGCCCAAAATGGCCACAGGGTTTTCTCTGAAGAAGCCATGGAGGCCCCTCCTGATGACAAAGCTGGTCCAGATTCCTGGGTGTCAAACAAGGCCCTGGGGCCATGAGCCCACAGTTTGAACTTGGTTCTGGAACAGAGGTTCCAGCTGCTCACTTCCAGGACCGTAGGAAGCCAGGGTGACATGTCCACTGGGGCGCCGTGAAATATTGGTGTCAGTCGTCAACTGTTCCTTCTTGAGAAAGCCTTCCTAATTCTGGGCATTAAAATCTTCCTTTATGAAATGATTTTTGTGTTGTTAATGTCCCTGCCTGGCAAAATCAAAACTGGGGAGGGCTGTGCCTGTTTCCTCCTCCTTCCCCACTACAATATCTTTAACATTTTCTCAGATCTGTGAAATGCAAAACTCTGGCCACCACTGCTTAAAATGGTCTGTAAGGACAAGCTAGGAAATCATTAAGAAACCACCTCTGGGGCATCACTGCTCTAATTGAATTAGCATTCTCATTAAACACGCCTTGTACCCGCGCTGAAGCACTGGCTGTGGTGAAGCCTTAACAGCCCCTTTACAGCTGGTTGCCGGCCTCTCACACGTCACCTTTCTAAAGGGCCCATCATGGAATGTGCCTCGAGCTGTGCGATCAAGATCTGCAGGGAGACAGACAAACTCAGCAGGAGAGCCACCACAGGCCCCAAGGAAGAAGAGCGAGTAGCCAGAGGAGCCCAGACCTGCCCAAACAGGCCAGAAAACCCGCTCGGGAGCAGAAATCCGCCCAAGACAACCCAGAGCAAGGTCAGTGACTGAACTCATCGAGCTCAAAGTCAGCACGTGCGGATTTGACTGACAGGCAGTTTCTCCACTCAGCACACAAACCCCACGCTTCACGGTGTGAAACCCAGTCTCCTCTGGCCTGGGGCAGGGATATTTGACAACCAATGTGCTCATGGAATTTGTAGTAAAACCAGCTGGTGACCTCCACTGCCTCCCAGACATCTGCCAGGAACCTTACGAATTATTTCTTTACAGTCCTCACAACCACCTGCCCAGTAGGTAACATTGTGCCCATTTTACAGATGAGGTAATCAGGGCCCAGAAGAGTAAAATGACCCACTGAGGATCACTCATCGAGCTGTCTGGTTTCATAGTCCACACCCTGTGCACCCCTACCCTGACCCTTCTCACTGTCCAGGGAGACACATGGTTGGTTAAAAGCAAAGTTCAGAGACAAGAACACCAACTTAAAGTTGAGAGCTGCTGAGGGTGGTCCCGAGCAGACTCTGGTCTCCTTGTCTGGAGCCTGGCAGGAGGAGTGACTCGGCACAGCACCTCACCTCCCTGCTGTAGGGGATCTCGATAGCAAGCAGAATCTCCTCCGGACCCAGCAGAGTCTTTCTGTAGCCAGGGAAGAAGGTGTGATCCATGCGAATGGTTCTCCTGGTGCCTGTACAGAGGCAAGAGGAAGAGGGATCAGTGTGAGAGGGCACAGGACAACCCGCCAGTGGATTCTCCATCCTGGTCTCTGATGCCCGCAGTCAGAGGGGATGGCTGGCACACTCGGGGCCAAGGTCCTCCAACTGACATCCTTGAGCAATGGTGTCTGGCATATGTTTAACAATCAATTCTTTGAGTGGAAAAAGCCCTGATTCTTAGTATTTGCTAATTTCTGTGGTATACATACAACCACCATAGTAATTTCCAGCTACAAGAGTGACATCACTATGAAGTTGGAAAGAGGGTACCAAAGAGTTGACACAGCAGGCCTGCTATCCTCTGAAGGCCTGCTTACCAGGTTGGCATTTGCTGTCCTCCGGGAACTTGGATCTTGCGAGAGTTCCCACCATTGCCCAATAAGAATGACTCACTCAGCCTCTGCTGCTTGTACAAACATGATTGTTTACACTGAACCCCTGCTTTCCTTCTGGGAGTCTGGATTTTTGCTATGTGCCAGGCAGAGCTGTGTGACCAGCTCTCAATAAAGCCCTGGGTACTGGACTCTAACAGGCTTCCCCAGTAGACAGCATCTCACATATGTTGTCACAACTCAGCTTGTTGCTGGGGGAGATAAGTATGTCCTGTCTGACCCCAGTGGGAGAAGACTCTGGAAGCCAGTGCCTGGTTTCCCCTTACCCCCTGCACCTTTTCCCTTTGCTGAGGTTGCTTTGTATCCTCCCGCTGTAATAAGTCGTAGCCATGAGTACAACTCTCTGCTGAGTCCTTCAGTCCTCCTGGCAAGTCTTCAAACCTGGGGGAGGTTTTGGGGAACCCCCCCAACAAGGAAAGGGGCACCAAAGCTCCCCATTGCCTTGCATATCCACTCTACAGATACAATAGATGGAAATAACCTCGAGAGCACAGATGTAGCAAAATGAAGTAAAACAATCAGGAGTATTTTGAGTATTTATTACCTTTGTTTTTAATAGAATTTATCTTGTTTTAAGCTTATATAATTTAATTTTTAATAATGGCCTCCTTTAACAAACACCCACAGACTCCCTGAAAAGCCAGCCATCAGCTGTGGTGAGCTAGTGCATTCTGGCTCCAGCACAACACTGACTAAGGCATCTGGTGACAGAGCCTGTTGGGAATTCTTAATAAACAATCGCCCAGCTCTCCTGGTCCCCAACCTGGGTCCATCTCCCTTGCAGCCTCCAGGGACCCTCAGGACAGCTGGGTCATTGAACTTAGGGCTCTGTTTCTCCAGAACATGACCTATCTTGAGAGACTTTTCTCCCCCGTGACCCTCTTTCCTGACCTCTGCATGCGGCAGCTCACCTCTAGACACCATGGTCAGCTTGGCCCCGCTGGCCATGAACACAGGATTGAGGTCGGAGATGGGGCTGGCGGTGATGACGTTCCCTCCAATGGACTAGGACAAGCAGAGAGAGTGTGTGAGAGCCCAGCCAGGAAAGCCTGGCTCACCCAGCTGGCTCCCAAACACAGGGCAGGAGGGTGACACCTGTGGACCTCCAGCCCCTATAGACACAAGACCAGCACCGTGAGAACTCGGGAATTCAGAACAACGTGCAAAACTTGAGAGCTGAATGCTTGGGCGTGGGTCCCAGCTCTGAAACTCCCCTCTCGGTAAAGCAGGGCAAACCCTTTTAAATTTGTTGGTTTGTTTGTTTGAACTCATTCACCCTTTTTCTGAGAAGGTTGAGGTGTTTTATCGCCCAGGCCATAGAGAGTTAGTAAAATAGAAATAGAAGATAAGGATCAAGGAAAAAGAGGAGGAAGACTTAAGGATGAACAATTTGCTCCAAGTGGACCTGAGCTTCCTGGCAACTTGGCAAAGAACGGAGGAGAATCAGCACAGGGTTCTCGCTATCAGAAAAGAGGAAGAAGACCAGTTGCACAGTGAAAACGAACCCTTCCCGGAAGTGGGTTCCAGCCGAGCTGGGGAGCGCAGGGGAGCTTTCTGAGTCTGTCTCCTCATCTACAGCCGGAAGTGGCAGGTGCTTGGGGAGGGGTGCAGGGAAGGGCAGTAGGCTGTTTAGCTTTATTTGGTTTTTGATTTTAATTTAAAAGACAGTGAAAAATAACATGGAGGGGATAGCTTTCCTCCCAATGCCATCAAATGTCGTGAGCCTCAAATGGCACCAGGTGTGTGAGCACCATCTGCAGACTGGGAATGTGAGGGTTAGTCTGCAGGCTGATTGTGAACAGCCACCAGGTGGACCCCTCCCTCCTCTCGGGGGTGCCACCTCTGGTTCTCCCCCAACCCTGGAAGGAAGTCCCCTCCCTATTTGGCTTCTGCCTAACTCATCTCTCATCCACCTGCTTAGGGCCTCAGCCAAGTGCAGGAAGAGAGGGGCAGGCGGCTCCATCTCTCCAACCTCAGGGGTAAAGACTGAGCCACAGCAGGTGTTTCTCAGAGCGGCTCGCAGACCGCCTTCACCAGAAGCACCCACAGGGCACCATCCTGGCCCCAGAGTCAGAACCTCTGAGGGTTGGGCCCAGGAACCTGCATTTTTAATAAGCACCCCAGGCAGTTCTAAGCGTTAAAGTTTGAGGCCCACTGGGTCTGCAGCAGAGGCCAGTCTAGACCCCGGGACTTGTGAGAAAGGCCGACCCCCTGGGCGTTACGGGCCCCTGAACAGAGACTCACCGCCACAGACTTGAGCTGCTTCCCAGAAAACCAGCGCAGCTGCTCCAGGACACCTCTGAACACCTCTGTTTTGTGGGTAGGAAGCTGGGCAACTGCATCCAGCAGGGTCTTTTCCACACAGCTCAGGGGGCAGGAGGCTCCAAAGGAGATACCTGGGAACACACGCTCAGAATAACAGCGATTCCCTTCGCAGCTCAGAAAACCCTTTCACACACAGTTCCTATCAACCTTTAAAGCTATTAGAGTGAGGCTGAACCAGGACTCACATCCTTATATGGGTAAAAACATTAAGTCCCAGAGAGGTTAATTTGTCCAATGCCACACAGCTAATAAAAGAGCCAGGACTCAACCCCAGGTCTCTTGATCCTACAACCAGAGTGCTCTTTTCCCTAAAGCAGTAGTTCTCAGATCTCTAAGAGCTAAGTCCTGGCATTTTTTAAAAAGCACCCAAAAACTCCCCCAGCTTATCCCCTACCCCCATGAGCTATTGTAACAGTAGCCAGGATAGAGAACAACTTCCAAAAACCCCACAGCCCTTGCAGCTGGCACCCTACCACGGATCCTCAGTGGAAGTAGGCAGTGAAGGGGTGAGCCGCTTCCCCTGTGCAGGGCGGCTCCTGGAGCAGCAGGCGGCAGCAAAAGCCAAAGGGGAGGCTTTCTGGGGACCTGCCATCCCCCTCCGGGTGAGCGATTCCCAGTGTCCCAGCCCCTCTGTGGGCTCAGGTGAACCTCCTTACCCTCCTCTCCGTGCTCCACTGAGTTCAGCTCGGGGATCCAGGCTGGGCACACGATCAGAGGAAACAGCTTGTTCTTAAACTTCATCTCGATGCCTGGAGAGAAATGGAAGCCTGAGGTTGCAGGCGGTCCTTTATCCCTAGGGCAGCCGGCGGCATTCTTTCCATCGCTGCGCAGGACGGATGCCATAGTCACAGTGTGACCGACCGCCCCGTGGGCGTCTCGGGATGAGGAGGCCGTGGATGAGATGCGGTGAGCACGGTTCCACACTGTCAGCCCGCAAGCTGTGTTTCTCCCTCCCTCAAAAAACTGTCCGAATTCAGATAAGATAAACTTGAATATACTCGTGTGTGTGTGTGTGTGTGTGTGTGTGTGTGTGTGTGTTGTGTTTGCAGGTGTTTAGTAACAATATTAGAAAACACAGAGTATTAAAATAGGTCCGGAACCCTTCTAAGCACTTTACACATTTTGACTCATTTAATCCTCCAGCAGCCCTACGAGACAGTGATTTCCTCTGCTTATCCATGAAGAAACTGAGGCACAGGGAGGTTGAGTTTCTTGCCCAAATTACACAGCTAAAAACAGGCACATTGCACTACTGGACCTACTGTTAGAGTGGGGTGTGATAGTAATGGTAACATGAAAGTCCGACATTGAGCAAGAGGGAAAAGTGAATGAGGGAAAACTTCAAATCTGCCACCCGGTCCCCACATGCGTCTGGGTTCCTCAAGGTGCACAGCTTTGGGGGACCACACGTCCAGGCCTGGGCTCTGTCCTTTCCGGCTACTAAGTTAGACAGTTCTGTGGACAGACAGACGTGCCTCTGTTCCCCAGACCTAGTTAGCACAGCACCTCCCCCAGCCCTGCCCACAGGGCCATAGGTGGGAAAGGTTAAAAAGAAATGTCTGTGCATCCTCGACCCTCCCATGTGCTGTTGGGAATTCCTGAGGGTTTGAGGAGTCTGGTCAGTTTGAATATCAGCTCCCAGGACAAGGAACGCAGATGGAGGCAGAAAGTGGCCCATCTGGGTAAGGTTCTCTCTCTGCCCGGGTGCCCCCAACACCCTGCCCTGGCTGTGGGGTTACACTGGTGGGGTGTGTGTACAAGGGAGGAGCGGGTGGAGCAGACGGAGTGGGCTTAAGAAATTATTTCTAACTTGAAGTTTATAAAGTTTTTGTGAATTCCTTTCTGTTGGAATCTAAGTGGGTCCAGGACGGGGTGTGACTTATGGCAATGAACACATCATGTGTCAAAGGACCTCAAAAATTCTTCCAGCCAGTCATTCTCCACCTTCCCTCTTGCTACTTTGGGCTGTGGCTACTTGGGCCATCGTGATCACGTCACCTGAGCCCGTCTCACAGGCCACCCTGCCATTCCATGTGTCTCATTGCTGCAGCTGGGGACTCTACCGCACCTGTGCTCACAGGGCATGGCCAGCTCTGCAGATCCAACAGAGCCCAGGGCTCAGGGGCTCCTTCCAGAACCAGAGCCAGGAGTCTCCTACAAGCTGAACTGGCTGCTTAAAAGCATGTCTAGTTCCCCCAAACCAGAGGTCCTTTAAGGCAGACCTCGGCTGTGCCACAATCCTCTCCTCAGGTCCTCACTGGGCTTGGGACCCAGCACACTGGAAGTGGGCCGAGCCAGGTCTCAAGTCTCCTGGGCCTGTTCACATATCATGGGCCTCATGTCTCAACAAGGCAGGCGGCCACAGTCATAGGCAACACAAACACAGTCATGCTTGGACATCTCCTCTCCTTTGCCTTACCACATCGCCCCCAGGAAAAGTGGAGGGCAAGAGAGTGACATTTATGGAACCCCTAGTGTCCATCAGGCCCCACCTTAGACGCTTTACCTCCATTGCTCCCTCCTCCCTCTGACTGGGAGACACTCCAGGAACGGAACTGTGTCCAATTGATCTTGGCACCCCAGCCCCTCCCAGAACACCTGGCGCATAGCTGGCTCTCTGAAAACATTTATGGAGAACAGTCAGCAAGGATCTCAGTTAACACTCAGAACAACCCTTTAAGGAGGTATTGTTACTCCCATATGTGAAATGGGAAAATGAGGGCAGAGAAGAAGTAACTTTTTTCTGACTTCACGCAGCCAGCAAGGGGTTGAACCAGGTCTATGTGACTACAAAGGGGTCATGGCAGGAATTCAACTGCCCAGATTCCTCGGTGGGTCCCCAGGCCCTCAGGCGGTCCTCAAAGCCCACCCTGAGCCCTTACCGATCTCCATGTTCCCCACCACCAGCGTGGCCTCGGGATGCTGTGCTTTGAGGTCCAGCAGCTCCTTCAGGGTTGAGGCCTGGATCCAGGTCACACGCTCCCCTTCAAAATGCAGCTGCTTCTGAGGAGCGTCTTTCAGTCTCTGCAAGACGTAGTTTTCTTACCCCACTGTCTCCTCCTTCCCACGGCCATTCCCCTGATAAATTGCCTTAAGTCCACAGTGGGGTCAACTGTTCTACCACTTGTTTAATACTGAATTCAGAATGAAAACACATGTCAGGGCAGAAGTGAGGGGACCTACTACATGTTGAGGCAGGAACTGCATTGCAGCTCTCACATACATTCTCTCTCTTGGTCTTTAGGAGACCCTGGTGAAGGAGGCATTGTCAGCCCCATCTTCTACAGGTGAAGGCACCTGAGGATCAAGGTTATGGGACCTGTGGAAGGTCACCCGCCACAAGGTGACCTGAACTGTCCTGACCAAAAGCCCAGATTCCTTGCACTGACCCCACTGTGTCCAGGAGGTACAGTGGACAAGGTATAGGAAGGGACAAAGGTCATGAAGGAAGGGGTGTCAGAAGTGAATGCAATGAGGGAGTGGTTCTAGTGTGTGTGGGGTATTCAGAGTGGGGAGGAAAAAGACCCAAATCAAACAGTTTTTTTGAGGTTTCACAATCCGGAGAAAGATATTGCAGCTGCCTGCTGCAAAGCTCTTCTCTCTGGCCCGTTGAACTCATAAGGCAGTCTTCATGTGCTTAATACCCCCTGAGAAATCTGCATTTACGAAACTCTGAGAATGGCTGGATTTTTTCTTCACCATGAATGTTGGGGTGAAGGGGCAGAATCATCAAGGTGAGAAAGTAGGTGTGAGAGGCGTCCTTAAGACAGAGCTGCAAGCCATGGATCGTGTCCTTTGGATACAGCATTCTTCTTCTGTTTGTTTATTTTTTTAAATAGATGGACTGCTTACAGAGAGTATACTGGGTTGTTTGAGGGGCTTATACATTAGATTTAGCCAGGAAGTTAGCAGATACTTCTGAAGCAACTGTTCCTGTACCTGAAGTGCCAGAGAGCTTGACTCCCTGTCCTCAGAGTCACATGTGGGAGAAGGAGAGAAGTGTGGGTCCCCGTGGGAGTGTGTGGCAGAGAGATTTGACCTCTGGGTGTCAGAGGAAAGAAGGGAAATGCAGGCTGAAAACTAAAGGACAAGCAGGACACAGAGATCCCAGGGGTCTGAAATAAAAAGGGTCATGGCACAGAGACTTGATTGGGCCTCTCCCTGGGGCATCACCTACCAGCAACTCTGGGGGGAAGATGGGCTCCTGGGTGGGATCCAGGGGCATGAACTCCTCTGGGTTGAATAAAGATGGCGAGAGGGTGACCTGTTGAAAAAGGCAACAGATGGGTGGTATGGTATCCCCTCCTTTAAAGTGCCCTGTAGGACCAGCCCAGCCCTTTGTCCAAGAGAGCTCGTTTGCAGCCTCCAGCAGGCTGGTGGAGGGGCAGGCAACTCCTGGCAGGCAGGAACAAGGAAGTCTTGTGAGAGGACCCAGGGCTAATGTGCACATTCACTGCCCTCATAGTCTGGGCATAGCCATTTCCTCTTCCAGCCACCACTGCCAAGAGTGTGGAGAGAGCCCATGGGCTCCTTTGATCTGAGATTGGCCCCCAGGCTTCCAGGGAGAGAAGGACCCACTTACTGTGTGGTCTTTCTTCTGGTTCATGCAGCAGTTTGGGTCGTTCCCCTTTCCTCCACAGCATCCACCATCCTAGAAAGATGACAACCACTCACACAAAAATATTTCCAAAGAGTTTTCACAGGAGTTAAAAACCTAGATTATTAATCTCCAATGAAATCTAGCTCTGATACCTATGCCAGAATCAACAGGAATCGCAGATATTCCCACCTCATCCCGCTTGCCTCTGCTTTAACTTCTTTCTCTTTCTTGGTTAATATAGACTAAATAACTTGTCAATAAGCAAATAGTATTTCTCCTGGAGGCAGCAGCGAAATTTAATTTTAAGTAAATTTTTCCATAAAAGCTGGGTCCTACTTTATCAAAACATATGTTTGCACTCATTTTCTCTCTTCAGTGCTGCTTCTTTAGGAAGCCTCTAGCAGAGAAATTCCCATTGGTTCTCTCAGCACTCCATAGCTCTACTTCTAGATCAGGCAAGTCATACATGGCTTCAGTGGGTGACTCTCAGACTGGGATCTTTGTGGGGCTCCCACCAAGAATGTCCAAGACTGATGCTGGGTCCAGAGATGTGTCCAGCCAGTGTGCCTGATGCCTCACCACTACTTAATAGGCACCTCTTGCCAGAAAGCTGAACATTCTTCATTCCTCACTGTGGGCCTGTTCTGGAGGAAGTGTACAGATCTGATGACCCTTCACGTGTGGGGAAAGGACGTGCTCAGGACCTCCTTGGTCGCATATGACAACGCACAGTGTAGAGTCCAGATTGCTGCCTCCTAGAACCGAGGTATTGAGGGTGGGGAAGGGGTGTGTTCATGTGACTGATTTGCTCCAAGAAGGCAGGAGTTTCAGCTCAGGGCCTCAGGAGACACTCCAGCTCATGGAGCTGTGCTGAGAGGCAAAAGTGGGGAAACTCTCAGGCACAGTCCCGGGCTTATTTCCAGGGTAACCAGGTCCTGGAATTGGGGGCTGAGGCAGCCCTTCTGACATGAATACAGGAAACACCATTCCATGCTAGATTTCCTGAAGGATGAGGCACAATCAATTAGTGTTTCCGAGAAAACTGCCAGAGAGCCATGGCAGCCAAAAGCACAGCCTTTGACAACGTAAAAGCACCGTCAGACTTGGCATTGGGAGATAAACCCTCCCTTGCCTCGACCCCCTGCACACATTGCCCTGTGTGTAGACCCATCCTGCATTCACAGCTTTGACAGTGAATCTCAGAGCTGCTCTATTCTGAAACTTCCACCACCACCTTGCTCTTCTCCTCCATAATTAGACAAAAAGGAATAAAGAAAGAGGGGTTACTATAGTGCTTCTTCTCATCTTTCTTCTTGCAGTAGGAGGGTTGCAGGGAGCCTAAGTTAAGTGAGGGGAGCCTGCACACAGGGAGCCATCAGCCTCATTCACCAGTCCTTGTGAGGAAGAATGTATTTCACAGAAGTACATTTTCCAGGTAATTGAAATGCCAGCATATTCTTACTTAGATTTTTTTCTTCATAATTCATTGATGAGTTCAGGACATAAATTATTGTGATTTACAATAATTGGTCACTGCCCTCAAGGTCTACTATGGCTGAATAAGGCTGTTTTGTTTCCCCAGAGAGATTTCCACTTTTCTCAAAGACTGCTGAGTTTGTGCTTATTTTTGTGGTTCCTCCCTTTCCTTCCTTGCTGCTAGATGGACATTGTCATTTCTTGCTGGGAATAGTGTGCCTTGCTCTAGCAGAACTTCCTCAAACTTTTCTAGAGTGTGCAATGGCCGTGAAAACTGGAGCACTAAGTTAGTTGGAACTGTGTGTAGAATAAGTTAAAAGGCTCTGGATAAAGGCCTTGGGGGCCTCCAGTGAACAACGTGCACAAGCTTCTGAGCACACTCTGCATGCTGGTCAGTTTGGCTGCTCAGAGCCCTCAGATCTGCTCTGCACTGCTCTGCCGGCTGGATTGGGGGGCTGCTCCTTACAGTGGAATCGGGAACCATCTCAACAATGATAAAACTCCAACCCTGGGAAGGAGCAGAGTTGTCAGCTACTCTCAAAAGCCCTTCTCTTTACAGAAACTAGGAGGGCTGGTTAGACTGTAGCTCTTTGAGAAGCCTCCTAGGAAATAAACACATGGGCAAGATGAACAATCCCTGGTTCTCAGGAAAGCCTGAGCAATTTATGAAGATCCAACATTGAGTAATGAAGGAAATGCATCCTCATCCTAATTTATAGTTGCCATTTACTGAACACTTAAGATGTGCCAGGCATTGTTCTAAGAGCTTTACAAGAAGTACATTCCACAGACACTATAAGGAGGTATTATTATAATCCCCATTTTAGAAACATGGAAATTTGCCCAAAGTTAAGCATCAATTAAATGATGGAATGGAGGTCCGGCTCCGTGGCCGAATGGTTAAGTTTGCGCGTTCCGCTGCAGTGGCCCAGGGTTCAGATCCTGGGCACGGACATGGCACTGCTCGTCAGGCCACATTGAGGCATCGTCCCACATCCCACAACTAGAAGGACGTGCAACTAAGATATACAACTGTGTACAGTGGGGGGTTTGGGGAGATAAAAGCAGAAAAATAAATGTTGGAATGGGATTTGAACCCACAACTGCGGAGTCCGAATCGGAGCTTTTCTTTTCATTTAAATTCACATCTCCTGGTTCCTCATCATCAACAGCACTCCACAGGGTATGGTGTTTTCCATCCTCACAGGCCTGTCTCCATCTCTATCCCTTTCGATTTATTTGGATGAAACCCTCCTTTTTGTAATGTGCCAACACTAGAGGTCAGTGAAGATCATGAGAGGCTGGGACTCTCTCCTCAACCCTGAATCAAATTGAGAGGGGACAGTTTGATAGGAGTGAGGATCAATTTGGCCTAGTTGGGGAATCAGGTGAAATCTGGGGAAATTAAGCCAAGAAAGGAGAGACCAGCCCTCTGTCCCTGTTGCCAGAAGGCAGGTGTGTGTCTGTGTCTATAATCTCATGTTCACCCATCCCGGCTGTGGTTTCTCACTCAGAGTTACATGAACAATGCAAGAGTTCACGAACTGTCTGGAGACCTCATTAGCAGCATAAGCTTTGGCAGACTGCCAACTGCAGAAAGCATCTGGGGAAGGAAAGGAGGAGGGGCGCAGTGCTGACTCAGGCTGGGTTGTTATTAAATGCCACATTCAGCACCTCTGCCATGGGCTGAGCGTGCCAGTCTCCAAGGGAAGCTGCTGAGACCAAATGCACCGGAGGAAGTCAGCTCTTGGTTAGCATGCCTCTTCCAGGAACCAGCTCTCCAGGCCTTGTAGAGAAGAGAAGTCCCCATTCTATTGACGACAACCCCTCCCTGAATAAGAATAGCAGGATCCACTGTCCCTGTCAGGTCCCCAGCTGGAGGGCCAGCCACTGGCCATCTTAGCTTTCTTCGCTGTAATCCAGAGGCCCTTGCCATCCCTCCCAACTGTGATCCCTGAGAGTCTCTTCTTTGGGAGCAGGGCCACACTGTCCTGGGGCCCCCACTTACCCTGGCGAAGGTCCGGAAGCCCTGGAGGATGGGTCTGTAGCCTGTGCAGCGGCACAGGTTCCCTGTGGTACAAAGAAAGAGCTGCAGTGTCAGCAGAGACTCCAGGACAGGTGAGGGGTTTGTGGCTTTGCTCCCGGCTCAGTTAGATGCTCTCTTTGCACATTCTGTTTCCTCTACCTGTAACCCTCTTCTTCCTCCCTGTCTTCCTGACTTCAAAGCATCTAACATGTCTTCCAGGAAGCCTTCTTAGAATGCCCAGACTGAATTAGGTGCCCCTCCTACGTGCTCCCCTGGTGACCACTCATGGCTTTATCAGTGAGCCTATCAAACTACATCATCTTCCTCTTCAACATATGAACTTCTTGCGAGTTGGGACTGTGCCTTTCATCCCTGTGTCCCTTGTACCCTGTATGGTGCCTGACATATGATATGACTCAAAATAATGGATTGAATAAGTGATGGATTGAATGATGAATGGAGGAGCATTCTTCTCTACTCAATTCCGAGGAACAGATACCTGGTCCAGACTCCTGGGCCCATTCACAGAAGGAAAACTGGGAAGCCAGTCTCTGCCCAAGGCTCAGAATCATGGTCACCTTCCTCATAGGTGGCCTTTGCCCTGCAGAGTCCTGTTGTGGTGAAAGCTGAGAGGGAAGGAAGCCATGTCACTAGCTTCTGTAGAGTTTTCCAAACGATCTTCTCCTGTGCCAGCCACCCAATGCCACCTGGTCCCAGTGCAGGGGGGAGGGCAGGAAGACAAACACTAAAGCAGAAGACCCCAGGAGGTCACCGAACCACACAGTGTTCTAAGAGAGGGTCAACCTTCCAGTAGATCTTAGCCGCCACGTCGGGGTGGCCTGAGCCTTTCTTGCAAAGGTCAGTGCCCTGAACTCCTAGCCCACTCCTGGCTTCCACTCTGGCCCGGCCCAACCTCTGCAGAGCCCCCTTTGCCATCCCACCTCCCTGGCTGTGCTTCAAGGCCCGTACCTTGCAAGGCATCCTCGATCTCCTCCATGGTGGGCTCGGGCTGGTTCCGGAGCAGTGTGTACATGCTCATGACGATGCCAGGGGTGCAGAACCCACACTGGGACCCATGGCTTTTGGCAATTCTCTCCTAAAAGGGGAAGAAGATGTAGACACTTGCATTGGCAAAACCCCTCCCAGGATCCCTACACAACTGAACTGAAGTCAGCCCATGTTGACAGATAGTGTGGAGTAGCAGTCACTCCACAAAGTCAAATCCTGGTGACATCCCTCACCAACTGTGACCTTGGCCAGATTACCAAGCCTCTCTGAGCCGTATGTTCCTCGTCTCTATGATGAGGAATGTCCTACTATTTACCTCTAGAGCTGTGGTGAGGATTCAATGAGATAATTCACATGAAACTCCTAACATTTTTTACCTGGCATACAGTAGGTTGTCAATCACTGTCAGTTATTAGTAGGAAAGCCCCTTCAAAGAATAGGAGTCATGAGAACCAGAAGGAGCTTCTCAGCCTGCGTTGAGTTGAGGAGGAAGAAAGCCGAGAGATTTGTCCAAGTGAAAGACCTATGTCCTGTTCTCATAACTACACTATCCCACAATCCAACCCAACAAGTATTTATTAACAACAAACTGAATACATTTTGTTCCAAAAAGAATACCATTTATTCTTAAGTGAAGAAAGCCCATGATGTCCACTGGGGATATAAGAGTTGGGAAACATGTCATACAGAATTTGCTATATGTGTTGACTGTCACAGAATTTTCATTGAAATATGCAAGACTTTCATTACAAGGATATTCCTCACATTCATATTTTTTCTCTCTCTTGGGAGTCTCTCTTGGTACTTATGATAAGTAAAATTGCTAGACTATTGTATCCCCAGTGCCTAGCATGTAGTCAGTCATTTTATAAATATTTACTGAGAACCTGTTATTTGCCAGGCATGGCAAAGACTGTGGGCACAGAACACTGAAGAGAGATGAGGTCACTGGTGTCATGAAGCTCATGTCCTAGTAGGGGAGATACTGACAAAAACAAACAAGAAAACACCAGGTGGAGGTCAGTGCTATGTAGAGCATTAGTACTGGATGACATGAGCTGGAGTGACGAGTGGTTACTCGGAGTGGCCAAAAATGTGTGCTCTGGAAAGGTGACCTTTACGTTAAATTTAATAACTTGATTAGGATCAGGGAAAAGTGTATTCCATGTAGAAGGTACAGCAAGGGCAAAGGCCCTGAGTACAGCAAATACACAAGCCTGGTGCTGGAGTTGCTGAAAGGCCAGTGTGGGTGGAACCCGCTGGAACAAGAGAAGTTGGCTGGGGGAATAGGCAGCAGCCAGATCATGCAACTCTTCATAAGCCAGGGGAAGGATCCAGAATTTTATTCTGAGTGTGATGGGAAGCCATTAGGGGAGTTTCAGCAGGATGTGATATTATCTAATTTATGATTTTAAAGAATTGCTCTAGCTGTTGTGTGGGACAAGGGCAGAAACAGGAGACCAGGACATTATAGTGGTCCAGGCAGGAGGAGTGGTGGCCCTGACCAAGCAGCAATAGGAGAAATGGAGAGAAAAGGAAGGTTTAATTTCAGGCTGTGGAGGTACAGAAGACAGTACTGGATGGGTTGGGTGTGGTGTATGAAGGAAAGAATCATAAGTGGCTCCTAGATTCATGTCATAAGCAATTGGTTGGATGCTTTTGCCATTGGCTCAGATAGAGGAACGATTACCCCTAAGAGAGAACTAGAAACTGGATAAAAAGAATTCCCATGAAAAGGGGCAGTGCTGACTGAGGTGGAAAAGTCAGAAAATCCTTTCTGGGGAGAAAACAGCCACCTTATGGCTGCAAAGCTTCATGGCTGGCCAGGAGCAACCTTAAGGTACAAAGCCTTCCCTGGAGGAGTGGGGGATCTGAACAGGGGAGCATTACTACAACAAGCAGCTTTTAAACTCAGCACAAGATGAGTGTCATAATATATGGCATTGCTGCCTATTAACAGCAATGGGGAATACCCCTAGAAAAGCTATCAGACATAAGAGGAAAAAAAATCCTTCTCTTCAAGGGCCCATGCACACATTTGCCCATTTCAGAAAGCTAACTAAAATCACCAGAAAGGTGCACTGTCCTTTGGTGAAAAGAGACTCACCTGATAGGCTCCAGAGGCCTCTCAGTGAGGGGTGAGACCTCTCCAGGGACTGAGACATTGGCTACAGCCATTATTGTGACCCAGCACGAGCATACTGACACAGATGCTGGCAGACACCATTTGTGGTCTTCCCCTGGCCTGTTAGCTCAGGGATCTGCCCCACCCACTAGATCACCTATTTTTGAGAGTGAAATCAGCATCCTGGCAGAGTGAGTTTCCCCAGCAATCTCTCACCTCCAACATACAATGAAAAGGACATTCATACTCCAACAGAGGACACCCAAACACAACACAAAAGACGTTGGAGAGACCCACACAGCCATATGATGGAGAGCAGAGAGGCTGGAGCAGCCATGGAGGAGGTGGAATGGGTTAAGAGAAAGCTTCACTCCCTCCCCTAAAGACTGTGACCTGGGACAATGGGAGGCCACTGAGAAGGAAGGAATGGAGGAGGGGACATCATTTGTGGGAACATCCAGGATCCCTGAGGGCCCTTGCAGCCTATAGGGAAGCCCTCTACCAGGGCGAAAGCTTTTGCCAGGGGTGAGGGGGGAGTGACCTTATCAAGCCAACTCCCCAGGAAAGCAGATAACAAAAGCAGAGTGAGAAAGCCCTGAGAGCATGCAGAAGAAAGTACCCTTTGCCCCATGCACCCAGCCCAGCTCCACTGCCTGGGATCTCGTGGAAGGCAGAGGGCTTAGAATATGTTGCCCTTGACCCCCAGCCAGTGGCAATAGGCAGTAACTGTGACCAAATACCAGGATGCAAAAAAACAGAGCCACTCCCTCGAACAATATCAAACATTATATTAGATCTCCAAACCACAGAGAAAATGACAAGTACCCAGAAATCATTCCAGAGGACACAGAAATATGTAATCTAAATGACAAAGAATTCAAAATAGCTATCATCAAAAAACTCAACTAGTTAAAATAGAATGTAGAGAAGCAATTCAATGAGTTTGGGAGCTACTTCACAAAAGAGATTGAAAGTATAAAGAATCAATCAGAAATATTAGGGATGAAAGACACAATGGAAGAAATAGAGCACCTATTTAATCTAGCTCAGCCAGGGCAGGCTGCCCACCCTAGAGGCTGACCCCAGCCAAAAGGAAGCCCTTGGGCAGCTTGTGGGCCCCCATAAGCAGGGTGCCTTGAGCCTCTGCAACCTGGGCGTGGGTCTGCTTCTGCAGGGTAGGGCATGTGTGAGGGATGGGCCTTCATTGATGCAGTATATGAGACCCCTGCAGCTTGAGTCTACTTTAGGAGGTCATGGTAAATGCATGGGACAGGACTGGGTTGATGGGCTATGTGACCATGAAGGTGGTGGGGCATATAAGCTGCAGCAGACAAGTGTTTCTCCAACAGCCACATAGGGGATCAGCCCCACCTTCCAAAGCCTGAAAAACTTGGATGCTCCCATGCCTAGAGGCAGCTCCACTTTGCTGAAACTCTGAGAGAGCTGACAACAGCTTTGCAGGCCGGAGGCCTACAGCAATTGTAAGCCCCTGAGCCTAGCACCAGCCATCCTGGGGGCCTACTCACTTAACAAAGAAACTGCAACAGGAATGTGCTATTAGACCTTTATCCACCTGTGCTGGGGCTCGCCACACCTGATACACTGACTGAAAGGACCATAGCAGCCGCATGCAGCTGAGCATTATAACCAGCCAGCCAGGGGGACAGGCCAGCCTCCCCAGGAACCTGCAGCAAGAGCAACACTGCCATAACAGGAGGACACATGTAGCCCACACAGGGGACTCTCCTAGAACATTTGGAACTGGTGACAAGAGGGAAGCACACTGCTGGACTTCATAAGGCATCTCTTTCATAAGGCCACCTTTCCAAGATTGGGGGACATAGCTGACCCTCCTAATACATAGATATAAGCACAGAGAAAGAGGCAAAATGAGGAGGCAAAGGAATATATTCCAAGTAAGGGAACAGTACCAAACCCCAGAAAAAGAACTAAACAAAACAGAAATAAACAATCTACCTGACAGAGTTCAAACAAAGAGTCATAAGGATGCTCACTGATCTTAGGAGAAGAATGAATGAACGCAGTGAGAACTTCAACAAAAACCTGGAAAATACAAAAAAGAACCAATCAGAAATGAAGAATACAACACTGGAAGTGAAAACTTCACTAAATGGACTCAATATTCTAGTACATGATACAGAAGAATGGATCAGCGAGCTGGAAGAGATACTGAAGGGAATCACCCAAGCTGAACAGATAGAAGAAAAAGGAATTAAAAATAATGTGGACGGTCTAAGGACCTCTAGAACAACATCAAGTGTGCTAACATCCGTGTTATAGGTGTCCCAGAAGGAGAAGAGAGAGACAAAGGGGCAGAGAATCTATTTGAAGAAATAATAGTGGAAAATTTTCCTACCTTAAAGAAGGAAACAGACATCCAGGTATAGGAAGCACAGAAAGCACCAAACAGCATAAACCCAAAGAGGCCCATACCAAGACACATTATAATTAAAATGTCAAGAATTAAAGATAAAGAGAGAATCTGAAAAGCTCCAAGAGAAAGGCAACAAGTTACACAAAAAGAACACCCCAAAAGGCTATCAGCTGAGTTCTCAGCAGAAACCTTACAGTCTAAAAGGGAGTGGCACGATATATTTGAAGTGCTGAAAGGAAAATACCTACAACCAAGAATATTCTACCTGGCAAGATTATCATTCAGAAAGGAAGGAGAGATAAAAAGTTTCCTGGGCAAGAAAAATTAAAGGAGTTTATCGCCAAGATACCAGTTTTAAAAGAAACGCTAAAGGGACTTACTCAAGTGGGAAAGAGACCACAAAATGGAATAAGAAAATTATTTTTTAAAAAGGCAATAAGACCCCTCATCAAGGCAAATATACAATAAAGGTATCAGGTCAATCACTCTATGAAGCTAATATGGAGGTGAAAGAACAAAAGTACAAAAATTATCTATTTCAATGATAGGAGGGTAACAGATTCACATG